ATAACACCAGTCTTGCATATACATGATTAAATTGGGCCATTTATACGAGCAAAAATTAAATAAGCCTCGACTTATTTAGGCCTATCTTTCAATCCTGGCTGGGCTTATTTTAGCCGCGGCTTGCGAACAAATTGACTGTTTATACAAGTTGTTTGCGACTTATCTAAGCCGTGGCTTAATTTGTGCTCGTATTAATGACCCTATATGTCTGCATCTTGGATTCCGAACGATAAATCCTTCTTAATACTGTTTTTCTTTCGTTTTCAGTTTTATGATACAATATCCAGAATGGCTTCAACGATAAAAAAAGCAAACGAACTGGAAAGTCAACATTTAGACAAGGTAAACTTGACGTTTACTCTGGTTTGGTAACTCTCTTTAACACGCCCATGCAGAGGTAATGCAAGTTGAGGCGATTGAAGGCGAATCGAGCGCATGCATTTATGGCGAGTCAAGCTAGGCAATTAGCCTTTCTTACGCCGCCATTTTTGGGTGGCATTTCAGCCGAAATCTGCGAGATAAGTCCACATAACAGCGACTTTTTATAATTTTTTGGACGAATGATGGTAAATCTGCGTTGTAAATGGTTAGTTTATTTTGAAAAATTGCTTTTCACATTGTTTTAATTGTCTGCATTGGTTAACGAGAATTGGATGCCACCCAAAAATGGCGGCGGATATATTCGTCATTGTGAGAAAGGCTGATTCAGTTAGAGAAATATAGGCAATTTAGTCGCGAGGTAAGGCGATTTAAAGCTAGTTTAGGTGATATAAGATAAATTCGACCTATTTGGTAGCGAGGTGAGACGATTTATTTCTTGCATGAAGATACGTGGCCAGTTAATATACGATTTTGCATGCATGCCCATGAACAAGCTGTGCTATCCCATGCCCTCCTCTCTATAGCTAGTGTCCGCCAGCTAGGACTCGAACAATTATTCAAGCAAGCAAATTAAACAATATATGCCTCTTTGATATATTTGCCTACATACCAGAGGTTTCAAAATAAGCCGTCGCCCGTCGCATCCGACTGCAACTCATCCATTTGCAACGGCTACTTTCTCTTTTGTAAGTAACTATAAATTCTAATTAAGTGTTTACAAAATGTTTTGTGAGCAAACAAGCGTGTATTTCCCCTGGAATTTCGTCGAAACATAGCCACAGTCACAGATTACTAGATTAGAAGCTTTGATACGTACGCGTCTCTTGTGTGTTGAGGACAGGCTCAGAGGTTTTCTATGAGGGGTCATGACCGCCAAAATCCTGTTTCAAATTCGGATGTGGCGAACCTAAATTCTGTTGTTCCAAATTGTTGCGAATTATAAATTAAATATAAATTAAAAGTTCTCTCTGGATGTCAAACCTAGGCCTTCCATGCACCCACGATGCACCCCAGTGAAGATTCTATCCACGCGATACGCAATGGAAACGGAATTCTCGCGGGATAGTATATGTCCTTCACCTCTCGAAGAAGAGTAATAACTATCTCAAACACATTTCTCTCTGTGTTTCGTTAATCTGAAGTATATCGACTATCGTGTCAAAAGGTTGATAACCCAATCCAATCTGAACAGAACATAGTCGTAACTGACGTCATCTTGGTTTCCTCTCGCTAAACGCTGTTGAATATCTACAATATAAGTATATAACTTCTAACTTCTCCGGCTATAAGTTCTGAATTGGATGCCATGTTAAACATAAAAATATTGCAGCACTTGAAATATTATAAAGCTTTAAGCCAGAGGCTTTATAACTATAATATACAAATAATGAATGTTTATGAGTGCAATGGTAAGAATATTTTCATGAGGTGAAAGATGGAATGTTCCATTCAACGAGGCGACAGCCGAGTTGATGGAACATTCCATCTTTCACCGAATGAAAATATTCTTACCATTGCACTCATAAACATTCATTATTTGTTTTATATAATACCAAAATAGACTAATAGATTCGTATGAGAAGCATTTTGAGGGATGCGATTTATCGAAAACACAAAGAGTGCATTTGTACTATACGTTTTATTCCATTGCACTCGCGGAGAGTGCAATGGAACGTGTTCCATTGCACTCTTGGGAAATCGAATTTTCTATTCAATATCACGTGACCATAAACAGCCAATTAAACGATTAGAATTCAATAAGGTATTATATAAACAGTTTTATGTAAGTTGCAAAAATTATTTCAACTTTCAGTTTATAATTATATAAATTATCATAAATTAGCTTATTCGTTCCTGCACTTCCGGCGATTTGGAAGTTGGAACCGAATTTGAGATCGCAGAACCGAATTTGAGATTGCACAACCGAATTTGAGATTGCAGAACCGAATTTGAGAATAGGCCGTGAATTCTATTCTGTTGTTTTGAATTATGTTTTGTCGTTTTAAATTTTTAGTGCTATTTCAAATCCTGTAATGTTTAGTTAAATTGTGTTCTGTTGTTTCAAATTCTATTGCGTTGTTCTAAATTTTGTTTTGTTTAAAATTATGTTGCGACAGTTGCGTAGTTCTAAATTCTGTCCTGGAGACGTAAATTTTGTTGTGCACGTTTAAATTCTGTTCTAATAAAACAACAATTTGGAACAACAGAATTTAGGTTCGCCACATCCGAATTTGAAACAGGATTTTGGCGGTCATGACCTCTCATATTTATTAAGAAACTTTTTAACAGCAACTAGTGAATTTGGTTCCATTTCCGGGGCTCCGGGAGGTCTCAGATTTCAAAATTTCCTGGAGCAGCATGCCCCAGGACCCCCTAACAAACTCACGATTTTGGCGTTCGCTATATAGCCCTCCCCCCCCCCTAATCCAAAAATGGCTCCGCAGTCCCTGAGCATGCCGTCAGATCCCCCAAGTTGCGAAGTTCGGCCTTCGGTTGCAACTCCTACTCTTCCCAACCCAACGTCTACTATGAAATGTTTTGAAACCACTGCGCTAGTTTCTGAAAAAAGGTATCAATTTCCCGTGCGTAATACAAAATGACTGAAAAACGGCAAACTTCGCAGGGCTATATTATCCGCATTTTACAACATTTCGCAACGAAACTTCGGAATATTACTAATTTTGTGATGCTCTTTCAAGCTGTGATGAAATTTTTGTCTAGACTTGTTGAGATCAAAATTTTGTTCATTAGTTATAAGGACCTGGGGCCGGTTGTATAAAAAAGTGATTAAAGTTAACTATAGTTAGTGGAAATGTCATCCAATAAGAAGCGCGTATTTGAGAATTAATCACTATTTAACCACAAAATAGTGATTAAAAAAGTGATTAAGAGTTTTATACAACCGGCCCCTGCTCTGAGATTTTCTTCGTCTACATCGCCAAATACTGGTCTAATGACTGTTAGATTTGAATTACCTCTTTGTCGAGATTTGGGTTTCTCACCGCATCGATATGACGCTCAATTTTAGCCAGGGTTATCACCAAATTCTTCGCTTGAGAATTGCTTTTGGCCACCTGAATATGGAGAAAAAAATCAGAATGCAAGCAGGTCAAACGTCTTCATTAGGTGTCTTGGTGACCCCTGATGAAGAAGCTAGATTGGAATGTCGAAAGGTTTGGTCGTGAACAGAGCCTACATACATGTAGCTATACTAACTACAGAGCTATTCATATGAATGCTTGTGAGATGTTTAATCGTTACCTCGGTCTTAATTTTAACTTGTGTGTTTGTTGTCCATCTCGATGATTTTTCCATGAATGTTAAGTCAAAGAGATGATGTTTAAATCTAATCAAATAAAAATAGTAGGGGGACTTTTGTTAACTGGCCAGTGTATGACATTCTGGCAGCATGGTACGGTTATACAGTCGAACCTCTATTAAGCGGCCACCCTCGGGAATCGGCTTTGTGGCAGCTTAATAGAGGTGGCCACTAAATAGAGGCACGCAAATAATAGACCCTGGGCGTAGTCAGTGCTTTTGAGGTGTAAAGCTTTTGAGGTGTAAAGTGGCATGTGTTAAAACATAATTTTTAAGCCTTATTTTATAAATAAAACAAATTAGCTCGATTTTTATTTTCGGCTCTCTTGACAAGGTGTTGTGCCAAGTAAATCCTGCAGGCTGGCCGCTTAATAGAGGTAAAAATTGACATAAAACATCATTTGGGACCGCTCTTTAGGTGGCCGCGGCCGCTTAATAGAAGTGGCCGTTTAATAGAGGGATAGTTTATAGAATTTGTATTACAAAACTTTCGGGACTTCGATATGTGGCTGTTTAATAGAGGGTGGCCGCTTAATGGAGGGCCGCTTAATAGAGAACTGTATGTGCCTTTTATCACGGAGTTCGATTCCTGCAATGTCTACTTTTCTAAATCAAAATTTCTTCTTAATCGCATTTTGGAAGAATGCTTCCAGGTGTTCTCCAGTACTTAGGTTTTCTTGTGTACGAAGCCCTTACTCGATATCTCTAGAGAACACTTTAGAAGTATTTGGGGGCTACGGTGGCGCAAGAGCAAGCGTATTTCACCTCTGAGATCGTGGGCTCAATTCTCGCTGCGGACTCATGTGAAAAGAGTCTGTCATTCTGTCAACACTCTGCCGAAAGTCGTGGGTTTTCTCCGCGTGCTCCGGTTTCCTCCCACAGGGAATGTTGACAGGGTGGGTTGGAATAACCCCCCAAAACTGACTCTTCCACCATAGCTTTGCTCCGTGATCAGACATGAGTCATAAGGTGGCTGCCAGAGTCGTCCTCATTTAGAAAGCCATCGGGCCGATCAGGTTCAACTGCATCCTTCGCAATGGATGATTCCAGCTTTTGACTAAATTTTGATCTAGGCAAGAAGAACGAAAACCATCACCACAGCTAGAAAGAGCATGTTCAAATTAGTAAAACTGCAAAGTTTGGTTGCGAAATGTTGTAAAATGAGAAAGATATAGCCCTGCGAAATTTGCACATTTTGTAATTAATTTGTATTACGCACGGGAAAATGCACCACATTTGGGCCGAAAGTGGTACAGTTTCCCTTGCGTAATAGAAAATTAAGCCCCGTTTACACTACGCTCAATTTTTGGTACGGCACGGATAAAATTGGTACCCGTACCACTTTTTTTGGTTCTTGGACTACCTATTTAGCTAAGCCCCGTTTACACTACGCTCAATTTTTGGTACCGTACCACTTTTTGGTTCTTGTACTACCTTCTTGGACTACCTAAATAGGTAGTCCAAGAACCAAAAAAGTGGTACGGGTACCAATTTTATCCGTGCCGTACCAAAAATTGAGCGTAGTGTAAACGGGGCTTTAATATAAAATTTGCAAATTTCGTAGGGCTATATTTCCTCATTTTACAACGTTTCGCAACCAAACTTTGCAATTTTACTAATTTTAACATGCTCTTTCTAGCTGTGGTGATGGAATTTGTTCTTCTTGCCTAGATCAAAATTTAGTCAAAAGCTGGAATCATATCCATTCAGCTTAACTCTCAACTGCAAGTAAGGATGATTTAATAGCACACTGAACCCGCGAGACAGGTTGCACCGTGTAGCAACTCATTCTAATGACAAAATATTTTACTACCTATCATCTAGTTTGCCTGCATATTCGTGAGCAGCTTCATAGCGTTTGGACTCCATGCCTTCAAGTTCTGCCATAATTGTTCCTTCTGCTTGGTCGATCTTGTTTGCCATACGTTCCTAAGGTTGGTGGAATTAATGGATACTTAAGCACATCACCACTGATAATATGAATAACTATAATAAGACTATTAGTATCAGACTGCAAAGACAAGTTATTAGGAACCGGTCATTATTTATGGCGGGGTGGAGGGGTGGGGCACCAAAGAGAAATGTTTTTCTTGGTAAAAATTTTGCAGATCCAACCATTAAAAAGTCAAAATTTTTATTTACCCAACCTTAAAATGTCAATTAAAAAATAAATATCTACCCCTAGCCAAAAACGTTACAAAAGGATACCATTCAGTTGTCACACATATCGTACACCATTTCTGTGATATGAGTTTGATAACTGGTTGTGCAACTTTCTGAAATCTAAAGTTTCATGTTGTCTGCATGCACATGTACTTTCTTTGGAGACACCATTTGCCTCGTGACGAATCGGAGAATGGTCAAGATAGTGACCCTGATTGATATACATATTGTATTGACATATGATGAAGGATTAGATCAGTTAAATGTGAATGTACCATACCAGTTTTTTTCTGTAGTCTTCAACTTCATCCAATGAAAAATTACCACCCTCTGAGAAAACCCTGAAATTACAACGATATTGGTGTATAGAATAGAAATAGACAGCAACATGCTGAAAGTTGTAAACCAGGAAACATTGTTTCCTAGCCAAGTTTTCGGAAGGTGAGCAAACTAGGAAACGTTGTTTCCTAGCCATGTTTCCCGAAGGTGGGCAAAGCATTGTTTCCTAGCCATGTTTCCCGAAGGTGGACAAACCAGGAAACATTGTTTCCTAGCCATGTTTCCCGAAGGTGGGCAAGTCAAGAAACATTGTTTCCTAGCCATGCTTTCCGAAGGCGGGCAAACCAGGAGGGGGAAAATACATTCTGACGTTGCTGGGAAACGTTTTTGTTTCTGGGAAGAAAATTTTGTTACTACAGCAATGGGGAAAACAGGGAAACATCGAAATTTTCAAGTTTGCCCAAGGCTTAAGAAGAAAAATACGATCCAAACATACTTAAAAGACTTTCGAAATCTTGCATTGGAATTTCTTAGAGAGGACAGCATGCCATCCAAATCTTGACGAAACTTTCTTAACGATATTCGAATTTGATTCATGTATCCATCCTTTTGCCCACTGACATGATCTTGAATTGCTACGAGTCTAGAAACACAAATTATTGGTTTTTACCATCCGTGATTTTTACACGGTAAAGTAGTATGGTAAATTAAAGTTCACAGCAACCAACCTGGTACGATATCAGGTATGTTGCGCTACTCTGGTTTAAAGGCCCTGTCACACTATTGCGTATGAGAGAAACGTATGAGAAGCGTATGAAAATTAATGTAATAAGTTTCATACGCACAAAAATCCTTTGAAATGGCAGCGTATGATACCGTACATCTGGCGTACCTCTAGCGTATTCAGCGTGTTCCTAGAGCACAGAATGCTTATCGTATAAACCATTACATACGTCCGAATACGCACAAAATTTTTGAGCATGCTTAAAAAAATTTTCTGCTTCACCGTATTCCAGCTTATGCCACCGTATGCGACCGTGCTTGAAACGTATACAACCTATGCCTAACCTACCCCTAGCGTGTGTCAGCATATACCGGCGTATGAGTGATATTTTTCATACGCTGGCATACGCTAGTGCGATACGCAATAGTGTGACAGGGCCTTTAGTAAATTAATCTAATTCCTGAACAAATTACATTCCAGTGAAGAGTTCAGTCTGTGTCTTCATCGGCGCTGATCTAAGGTCGCCACTCTGGTTCATCATGACATCATCACATATGATTTGTACTTACTCATGCGTTTTGGTAGCAGATGTAAATGTTGCCTCCAAAGCTTGCACTGCTTTTTTAAACTTATCTGTCTGTCAAATAGAACAAAATGATAAGCATGGAATATTTTAACAACATCAAAATTAGTAGGTTTTAATTTATTAAGTTAAGCTATAAAGCCGCGATACGTCCTAATGCGCCTTACGCACAAGTTGTAACAAACCTGCATCAGACTTGTAACAATGCTGTTCCAACAACTTGTCAACAGGATGTGTTCGCACCGCTTGTTCCCAGCTTGTTTACAAGTTGTCAACGCCTTGTTGACAACTTGCTACAAGGTTGTTGAGCCCGACAGACTTGTTACAAGTTGTTTTAACAATTTGTCAACACGTTGTGAGTGACAACCTTGTAGCAACTTGATAAAATAACAGCATTGTTACCACTAGAAGCCTGTTGCGAACACATCTTGTTGTGGGATTTTTACGTTTTTGTACCTCTGCCGCACAACGACAGGCAAGTTCACTTCTCGAGAGAGAAGTGTGGGTCGTTAAAATGAATGGAATACCTCATCATTATGTTCTTCAATCATGGTTTGAAATCTGGTTTTAAACTCATTTAATGTAGCCGTGATTCCTTTCGAATGGCGCTCCACACGTTCTTGATGCATCACTAGTTCAGCTGAAACATAATGGCATATTCGTCAGCAGAGGTGGAAACATAGTCGAGCTCGCGAGCACTGCTAACAGGTATTTTCAAAAGCCACAAGAAATGCTTTAGGTTGAAGATTTATAAGTTGAAATTTGAAGAAAATGGGCCTAATAATTTATGATAGCAATCTTTATACAATAGGAAAAACAACTACCTAAAAATATAAGCAGAATTTCGACGTTTCGAGCGAAGGCCCAATCTCGTTCCCAGAGTATGTCTGTTCGCGGGTTATGTATCATGCCACTACACAACCCGCGAACAGGCATACTCTGGGAACGAGATTGGCGAAGGCCCTTCGTCCAGTGGTAGCCATGGTTAGCAGACGAATTTATTTCTGAAATTCAAAACCATGCTCGGCAAACAGTGCTTACGTATGGCTGGATTTAGCACAAAAATACTCTGCTTGTCCAACGGAACCTTTTTATGTCCAGGTTGTGCTCACAGGAAGATTTGCCCCCTCCCTTACTCGTCAGAGCGATTGTCGTTCACCTGTGAGATCGTGGGTTATTACCACACCACTTACTCGCTGCATAGAGTCGGTCAACGCTCTGCCGAGGGTCGTGGGTTTACTCGATTGAGTAGTCCAGTTATAAAGAGTCAATCAACGCTCTGCCGAGGGTCGTGGGTTTACTCGATTGAGTAGTCCAGTAAGAGTTCATTGGTTAGAGCAATGTACAAAAAGATGTACTAGGATGTACAAAAGGACATTTGTAGTTTTAGTTTTAATAGCTGTATCATCGTATAAATATTAACAGATGAACGGTGGTCCAACAGAGCAAAGCCCCAATTGAACTGGAATACCTGTGCAAAGCAAAGCCCCAATTGAACTGGATTAATTGTGTTTACGACCCAGTTAATCCCAGACAGACAAACAAGTTAGAAATGGGGGTTTGTCCAAAAGGGGATTAATGGTGGATTTACGGTTTCAATGAAATATTGCTCGTCTTAGCTTGTCAAGAGATTGCCATGAAGAAATAAACAAAAGCTGGGTTGTATTATTACTGTATGAAACAACTTGAACCTGCCCTTACCGGCTCTGACATTATGAACATCTTGTTCGGCGCGAGCAGGACGAGGTTTATGAAGATGCAGTCGTAAATCTAATTCACTGTTCAGCTCCTCCACCTGAATATGAAAATTTATTTGAGATTTGTTTGGATCTAACGCCTCGATGAAACGAGGATGAGAGTGCAAGAGAGTTGGCTAATCACGCGACCTTGACAGTGGCGTAACGCTCATTGGTTAGGGTTAGTTCAAGGGCCCTCGGCAGTTATACGGCCCCCGGCAGTTAGGGGCACCCATCAGCCACGGCCTATCGCCCAGAAAATTAGAAAACGTAAAAAATGCAGGTTAAGAATCAATGGAAAAATGCAAAATTAATAATGCTAAATAATAAAGCCTCCATCGCATAGATATCTTATATACACTAGATAGTGCATCTAATTATTCTGCAATTCAAAAATTGAAGTCGTGATTTCTATTTCTTAAACAGGGAACTTAAACATTAAGTTAAACCTATTCCAAATACATTTTCAAACTATTCAAATGATGAAAGTTATTGTTGTTTTTTAAGCGTTTATTAGCGAGTGGGAAACTCCAGCCGCCATCTATTCAAATGGGGGTAACCGCTGGAATATTCTTGGCTTCAATTTTACTAAAAAGAGATGCGCTATCTAGTGTATATAAGATATCTATGCTCCATCGACAACGGCAGCTGATTTTTTATTCCATCTCAAATGAAACAAAAGTTATTCTTATTAGTTGTTACATGTGTTGGAGCCTGTCATGTTATTGTTATAGACACGGAATTTTCCAGAACATTCAATAAAAAATATTCAATATAAATATAATATCTCAGTCAAAAAATGACAACGGTCAACAGGGGCTCCCACACCAATGGACCTCGGTTAGCTGTTCCAGGGCTGTTCTTACTAGTAATGCTTTCCCAACACTATCATGTATTCTATTTAAGGTCAAAACGCAGTTGGAACACTCATCAAACCTCATTTTGTTATTTAAATCTAAACAACTCTCGTCATCGTTTGATCGGGGCTTAAATATATTATGTACACCACTTTAAAACGCTCAAACACGCAGTATACCTTGGCTGCGACAACACTATTGGCTCGTTCCATTGCTTCGATTTTCCATGTTTCCAACGACTCCAAAAATTGCATTCGTAAACTAAAATATGTTTATTTGCATGGGGAGAAAGACATTAGAATAACATGATATCTAAATTTAAGGGAGAGAAAATGTGGAGTAAAATGAAGGGGGGCCCGGCCCCGTACGAACGAACCCTGTGATATATACTTCTGTTCAATGTTTGCTACGGGGGTCATGGGAAACCTGATACCATAAATCTACAGTTATGGCATGCAAAAAGACAAGTTACAGTAAGACTCACAATTTTCTGAGCTCCAAAAATAGATCTTCTTTAATGATGATCTTTTCTGTATACAATGTGTTATAATCATCCAAATCTATGAGAAAATATCGACTTTAACCATTGAACAAGAAGCACGCATTATTTGATAACTATCCTATCATCCTATATAGCGAACCAGTCCCTTGCTCTTGGCCTGCACTGCATTCTGTTGCTCGATGCTCAGAGTGCTGCATTGGAACCGCGGGTAGCTACCTTTTTGCACAAAAGACAAATTTGGCCAACGTTTTTTTGTACCCAATTCACAACTCGCATGCCTAATTCCCATCTACAGAAACCTTTCACCTCTTAAGTATACCTGGTGCATCATCAGTGAAAAATGTCATCGAGGTTTTCATACTACGAGCGCTCACTGATGACGTAGGAAAGCCGTAGTCTCCAGGACATGTTAACACATAGAAAGTTGTTCCGTTGGAGGTTTTTAAAACTTCTTCCAGTGTCTCCGTATGCGGTGATATCTGAAGAAATTAAGTGATGAATAGTCATATATATACATAAGAGAAGTGTAATACTGATCATAAGAAATATGGACATAACTTTTATTTGCAGTACTTACAGTAGCTCTATCAGGACTTTCAAAATATACCTGGTGTATATTTTGATTTCATGTACGTAAAAGCTATAAAAGTTATCGCAATGAAATAAAGATCATTGCATTCAGAACGGACTAACTTAGATTTTGATATATACGATTTGAATTTACATGCAATATTGACTGCGCTATTGATGTTTGAACGTTGAACTACTGTTTTTGAAAATGCCAAAAATTAGCATAAAACAATCTTATAATTTCCGATGTATGTAAATTTAAGTGTTATTTATCAAAATCTAAGTTAGTCCTTTCTGAATGCAATGATTTCATTACGATAGCTTTTACGTTCCATGAAATTATTTATTGAAATCAAACAGTGTCCAGTTTTTTGGGGGGACACCCGGTATAATTTTTGTGGCTGTGGTGAGAAAATAAATGAATGAGGAATCATTTCACAAATATGGAATAAGTTTCCAAAAAATTACTTCACCAATTGGCAAATATTTACTGGAGAAGAGATGGGTTATTAAAAGATGTATGAATTTTGCTCGCAGGCACTAAATAAAATTAATGAGCCCTGGCCTTTCAATTATAGAGTTAAAACAATCTTTACCTCGCGTGGTGACCGACCTACAAAGAAAAAGTATTTCATTTTTAAAAAAATATATTCTATACTAATCGAACCGTTATAATAGCAAGTTTATGTAAGCGAAATGCCTCCGTAACGCAGACGGGGTATGTAAGAGAAGGAAGCAACAGTGGTTGACACTTTGAAATATTGGGTGCATGGGGGGGGGGGGCGAAATATTGGGCGGGGCGAATAGACCTTTCCCCTTTTGAGTGAAATTTTGATCTAGACGAAAGTCTGAAAGAGCGTCACAAAATTAGTAATATTCCGAAGTTTCGTTGCGAAATGTTGTAAAATGCGGATAATATAGCCCTGCGAAGTTTGCCGTTTTTCAGTCATTTTGTATTACAAACGGGAAATTGATAATCAGTTTGATCATCTGATTATCAATTTCCCGTTTGTAATACAAAATGACTGAAAAACGGCAAACTTCGCAAGGCTATATTATCCAACATTTCGCAACGAAACTTCGGAATATTACTAATTTTGTGATGCTCTTTCAAGCTGTGATGAAATTTTTGTCCAGGCATATCTAGATCAAAACTTCACTCATAAGGGGAAAGGTCTATTTAGGTTGCCTGAATGTGATCAACTTCTGTAGCTGCATGAAATCTTGGTTATCTAACTTTTTTGCTTTACTGATTTCATGCAAATATACCTTAATTTATAGTCTACCAATGATTTCATGGTTGAAAAATTATTGTTACAACCTTGTTACAATGTTATTCAGCTACCATTCCAAGGGTTTTAGAAATTATTGGGGGCGGGTTCCTGGGCCCTCAGTGTCCGCCACTGGAAAGCAATTGACCTTTCTCACGCGATGCGATTTAGGAACAGTTACTATTTTTAGACTTTTAGGGTTAGGATTAGGGTTTGGATTATAGGGAAAGGGTTAGGATTAAGTTAGGGTTAGGATTAGAGTAACGGTTAGGGTTTAGTTTAAAATACAAAGAATACAAAATTACAAAAGTCTAAACATAGTAACTCTTCCTAAAAACGTGACAGGTATAATCCAAAATGCCGGACATGGCCTGGTCAAATGGCTTTAAAAAGGCTAATTATACAACCATACTCCTTGGAATGAATATCCCTCGGAATATTCAACAGACTATTACACAGATCTCTATATTTGAATACAGTTGATAATATCTCCTACCTTGCTTTGGTGAACCTGATGGTGAACTGACGACCGCTCGGGGTTGCTATAAAAATTGAATATACAAAATATGTACAGATGTATTTCGATTAAAATCAGATCAAAACTGATACAGGTAGTGAAAATACAATTTGAGATATATTGATATAAGCCGGTTACAGACGAGCAAGTTTTCTATGACAAGTTTTTATGTGATAAGTTTTATTTGCTCGTCTGTACGTGCAACTTTGACATTTTTTTCTATGACAAGTGCACTTGTTCAAAAGCTAGCATGCTAGCTTTTGAACAAGTGCACTTGTCATAGAAAAAATTGTCAAAGTACAAATTTTGTTCGTCTGTATGGGTCAACAAAGAAAACTTGTCAAAGTAATCTGAGCATTTGATGTGATTAGCCAGCGGACTATTATAATTTTTCTGTCATGGCGGCGATAAACACTTTTTCTGACACATTCACACGTGAAATAAAACTTGTCATATGAAAACTTGTCATAGAAAAACTTGTTGCATATACGAACGTGCACTTGGCGTCTTGGCCGGTAAAACTTGTGAATAAAAACTTGTCATAGAAAACTTGCTCGTCTGTAACCGGCTTAATTTTAAGTATAGCAAAGAATAAGTGAAACTTGCGGATTGCGTGTATGTTCAACTACCTGAAAAATAGAGCAAAAAAACACTATCGACGTTTCCACTCGTCTGGAAGATAGTCGGGTCCAGCCGAACGGCCTTAATTAATTCGCTCTTCGGATCTGAAACGTCGAAGTTTGATCTTATTTTCAGGTAGTCACATCGTGCTCTCAAAGCTGTAAAATTTTCCTCACAAACGCAAATCAGTATTAGGAAACTTTGCTATTTAGATCTTTATTTCACGCAAACGTTTGCAGGACATTAAAGGGTATATATAGCCTTGATTCAAATACAATTAACCTATACTGATTGTTGCTTCATACTCATACATACGTTCAACTCATACATAGAGTAATCTACCTTCTTATATGATGCACCTACCGGGGCGACCAACTCAATACCTTTCTACACCGGAAACATTTTATTCCATCTCCTGGTCGGTCTCTCGACAGGAGCTACACTATCAGATCTACATTTATTTGAGATTTTCAGTTTCCTATTAATAAATGATGTGGCATACATACAGTACATAATACTGAACAATTTTAAAGAGGCCTGCGGGTTAACCGATTGACAACATTGGTGTTTTTTGTGATACAGTGGATCACCTTATAGTTAGCAGATATTAAATAATGAAAACAAAGTTTGCGGTCTCCGTGGGGGTGCCACGAAACCTGTTTTCCAGCTGCTCTTTGGGATTTGGTGGAAAATGCGGGTTCCAGATTACGGATTGCAGATAACGGATTGCGGATAAATTCTACTATAGTTACAGTCGAACCACTATATAGTGTCCAGTATTAGAATCGGAATATTTTAGCATCGCTGAACCAGTTCTTCATTAGCATGCAACTCAAAAAACCGTTTATAATTATACTATATAGAAATACTGCAAACATTCATAGACTTTCGTTAAAATTGAATTTTACATATTTACATTCATGTTTGTCCGCTTTAATTAACAATTGTTCGCCGAAGGCGAGGTGATTCTCAGTGAATAAAAACCGAGACGAAGTCGAGGTTTTATTTACGATAATCACCGAGCCTGAGGTGAATAATTGTTTTAGAATAATTTCATAGGTGATTATTTGGGGAAAAAATACACATTTCTTCGTCACTTTACTTGGACAAAATGGCTCGCCGCCATTTTGAAAAACTCTTTAGGTGATTATCGCGAAATAATCACCAACCAATCAGCGTGGAGAATTTTCAATAATCACCTATGTAAATATGTAATTATTTTCTAAGAGAGGTTATTCGGCGCACTGTGATCTCGAGTTAAGCGTTGATCCGCTTCCGCTTATAGACCTTATAATAGAGGTATTTTTTGGAAATTTTTCAATGATCTAAGAATTAAATTCCATGATTTTACACTGGCGGCTTATTAGATGAATTCTAAACGATTCTGAAAGTTGTACATTTCGTATCAGATAGTTTTTTCGCGCCGCTACCGAAAGCTATCCGGTATAGTGTGTTACGAAAGTATATCTAAATAGTATAAAAATAGTTCAGTTTGCACCCCAGGTAATTATAGATACTAGTTACGTCAAATGGAGAGATAATGAGCATTTTTGCTGTAAAACGCAGATAAAGTATATATCATTTCGGACTTGTGTAAAAGTGTCAATTATCTGTCCATTAGGCAAGATAAATGATTGTCAAACTGTCAAAGTTGGACGATAACCTTGCATGGTGGGCTGTTGTGTTTACATAATTCAAAGTCCAAGGCTGGTTCTTCTCTGACATGAAAATGTGCATGCTTAGGGCCTTTCTGTCAATCATTCTTCGGTATATTTCGCGCGGTTGAGTAATGATAACATTACGTCATCAAAATCTTGGTTCAATAAAATTGTAAGTACATTTAGGTTAGTAGGTAAAGTAAGGGTGATCGCTAGATAGTATACTTCAAAATAAGGTTTCCGTTTTTATAACGTAGAAAAAACTATCCTAACGCAAAACTAAACCCTAACCCTAATACTCGCCCTAACCCCTAACCTAAACCCTAACCTAACCCTAATTTATTTTAATTATTTTAAAAATTGATATAAAAACGGAAACCTTATTTTGAAGTATACTATCTAGCAATTGCCGTAAAGTAAGGTTCACATAGGTATAGGTTGAAGTTTTTACTATGATATTTTGATAAATATTTCAAAGTTGTGAACATATTTTAACATTGATGGATTGAACAGCGAACCAACTCGACCAGTGCGACAACGCTTTAAATAAACAGAATTTGAGAGCTGGAACGAGCTAGCAACGCCAACCCACACTTTCAAACCTCAACGTTGATTGGCTGGATACAAATCACACCACTTGCTACATCACGTGTACAAAGATCTCCTCAACCGTTAGTATAAAAGTGCGTGCACAACCAAATTCGTCAGTGGACTCAACGAAGTAAAAATTATGTATGAAAAGTTGTAGAAAGCTCAAACGAAACAAGACAAAACGACAAAGAATACGAACTGAAAACAACGAAGAAAGGCTGAAGGAAGAAGATAACTTTGAAAAAGAACGATTTTAATATTAACATTATAGTGACACTAATTAGTAACATTGTAAACGATTCCCTACCTCGCGTAGAAAACGGAATAAAAATTATATATACCTAACAAGTGCATATGGCCTATAAGTAGACGCTGAACATTATTAGATAATTTCTAGTCCGCGTTAAACGGCGACGTCACCGATAGTTAGAAATTCAATTTCCAATGTTGTGCACATACTTGCCGCATAGTATGGAAATTTGGCAGAAAAAGAGCGAAAATTTTCTAGATCGAGTCCATGAAAGCCTGAAAGACTGGGCTTGTTTTCATGTCTTTTGCGCCATTAAAGAGATGAATTGACGAATAGAAGAGACTCAAGAGAGTCTGTCACGCAACGTATATTAATTAACAGACTGTCGGCCTGAATACGTTGTGATAGAGCAACGTCTGTCTGACGGCAGTATTCAAAAATTATCTGGCGAGAACTGACGAACATAACAGCAAAAGTGTAATAAACCTTATTTCGCATTCCGTAGGCATTAGGCCACTTACGGTGACAAAATTATCGCCTGTCAAAACGAGCTTAGAATAATCGAGTTTTGTGTGATGGATCTACCATTCTACTCGTCGGATATATAAGTCAAAGGTTAGTGGTCATTCTTTCATTCATGGCCGTAGGAACCACGGGGCAGCGGGGGCTTGAGCCCCCCTAACTTTTAGAAGCAGAGGGTTGAGCCCCCCTAAAAATTCTAATTTCTATTAAGTGAATCTCGAAGTTAATGCACAGTTGCACATGCACGTTTTGAGTTTGCTTAATACAGATGTATGACGCAAAGGAAGATTGAATCTTTCTTTGCCCCAGCTCTATCCCAAAGCTCGGAAGATCTAGTACACGGTGACCTGTAAGCGCCACTTCGTGCTCTTCTGCATGCGTACAATTAAATTGGCTGCTGCTTCGTCAAAATTGAGTGATTTTGTTTGCATTTTTATAAACCATGACAACTGGTTATGCTAATAAGGCTATGATAAGAAACCTGCACCTAAATAGTCTACATTAAAGACGATACATCTACAAAACTAGTCTACAAATAACTAAATACTCTGACATTGGCTAAGAGAGTGTAGATATATCAAAATAATGTAAAAGTGTTGTTTATGATCATAATATTTTATTGTAAAACTAGAGGTAAATCTAACCCTAAATGCAGGAAAACATGTTTCAGAGAGTTGAAATTCAAAAAAATCTTCCCGAGGAGACATGCCCCCGGACCCCCCAAGCGAGGGCTCGCCCCTTCGGCGCTCTCCGTTGAGCCCTCGGTTGAGCCCCTCTAACTTTAATCATCTTCCTACTGCCCTGCTTTCATTTGTTATGTACGCACGATATTGCTAACAAGCGCGGCAGCCACGGCTGTTTTTGGTGGACAGTTCATTTTTTACATCATTGTTTTCTTTTTTAACATGAAGATGACATCAACGCTCATAATCTTTTCGCTGCTTTGCCTTCTGGTAGTGCAAGGAGGATTTTTACAAGTATGGAAGATCTAATTAATTAACATATTTCCGGCTAGTTTGACGACTAATTGTTTGAAACCATATAACTAATTAGCATAATTCACGACGATTTTTCTAGCTATTTTTTTTATATAAACTTTATTTCGCTGTTTGCCCCAAAAGCCATGCTTATCGAGGGGGCTCACAAAAAAATAAAAGGATATATAAAATTATTTACACCAAATAACACACAAATAAACAAACAAAATAAAATAGTGTTACAGAAAAGACAAGATACATAAACGCACAAAGCATTGCTAGGAGAAGCGACAAGTATCCAAAATATAACGTTGGACAGCACCGAACAATAAACAATTTTCATCAAAGCTTAATTGAACAGAACCGTTCAATAAAAATTCAAGTTTTCCATTGTCGTTGCTCATTAGCCATGCTTTTCCACAAACTTGTGCAGCAGAGGTAAGAAGTTCACTACGTTGAGCAGCAAAACGAGGACATAATAAAAGATAATGTTTAACTGTTTCATTTTGATGGCAACATATACATAAAGGAGAATTACAACAATTAATTCTATACAAATAGTCATTAAGCGCACAAAAACCTAATCTTAGTCTTGTATGTAAAACAGATGCCTTCCTCGTAAGAGAAAAATTTAACCATTTATTATAACAAAGCGGATGATAAATCTTATTTATTTTCAACTTTAAGTTTGAAAGAGAAATTGAATTTCTAATGTCAATATCAAGAGTATTCCACAACGAAATCGTGGAAGGAAAGAATGATTTCTTAAATTTTTCAGTTCTACACTTATATTGACTAATATTATGACCAGACCTTAACGGAATATAAGACCTTTCATTAACCAATTTTGGTAAAAGCTCAATTAAGTATAGAGGAGAATAATTATAAACTATCTTATAAAAATAAGATAATTTGTGAATTTTTCTTCTAATGCTCAACTCCTCCCAGGCCAGTTCTTGACGAAGACTATTCGAGCTAGTACCTTTAATGGCCCCAGTAACAACTCTAGCTGACTGATACTGAACACTTTCAAGTAACTCACTATTCCCGGCAGTACAATTATCCCAAATAATATCGCCATATTCCATTATTGGCCGAATAAAACTTTTGCATAAACAAGCGAGAGTTGATTTATCAATTTTGAACTTCAATGGTTTTAACATATTTAATCGTTGAGATGCTTTTTCATAAACTGATAAAATATGATTATTCCAAGACATATTACTTTGAAAAGTCAAACCCAGATGAATGTGCGAGACGACTTCATCAATAGGACAGCCTCTCATTGAATGTACCGGATGATTTTCTTTCTCTTTTTTTGTTGGAAAATGTTATAGATTTAGTTTTTGAGGGGTTCATTGTCACCAACCACCTATCTGGCCATTCTGAAATCTTATTTAAATCATTATTTAATAGTTCCGCGGAGCTAGCCGGATTATCGACAACTTCGAAAAGGGCAGTATCGTCGGCAAAAATAAAAGGACAGGATTTTAGGTCATCAGTTATATCGTTAATGTAAATTAAAAATAAAAGAGGTCCCAAAACTGATCCCTGTGGAACACCAGAATTCACGCTTCTCCAATCTGACGACTGCCCTTCTATAACTACACGTTGAGTTCTATCTTGCAAATAACTTTTAAACCATTGAAGAAGAGGATTACGAATTCCTAGTGCTTCTAACTTTTTCAATAATCCGGCATGCCAGACTTTGTCGAAAGCCTTACTAATATCCAAGAACACAATCCTCACTTCTTTGCCAGCTTCGAATGCGCAGTAAATCTGATGAACGAAATACAACAGTTGGTTGACTGTTGAATCACCTGGTCGAAAACCGGATTGTAATTTGTATAAGTAACCTATTTCCAATAAGAAATTATAAAGTCTAACAAAAACAACTTTTTCACATATTTTTGAGAGACATGGTAAAAGTGATACAGGTCGATAATTTACCTTCAATTGGGAGTTACCCTTTTTAAATATAGGAACAACATTAGCCATTTTCCACGCAGACGGGTATTGCCCCAGGGCAAAAGAGAAATTAACAAATTTGGTAAAAAACAAATAAAGGCTCTCGGAACAAAATTTAATCATTTTATTACCAATGCCATCAGATCCACTCGCCTTCGAAATATCAACACTGCGCATTAAAATTAAAATTTCTTCTTCAGTAACACAGATATTAGCAAGGAACGTAACAGATTGATAAAAAGGTAGATTAGGCACCACAGAAGAACCAGCTCCAGGTAACTGAGTTTGGGCTACAAAATAATCATTAAAAATGCAAGCCTTTTCTCTTGGGTTAGTAATTAAATCATCATTTTCTATTAAAGTTGGTATTCTTGATTTGTATGTCTTGCCGCAAATATTTTTTGAAATAGACCACCATTTTTTATTATTCGTTAAAGGATTACTCAGCTCCGCATTTACTTTATCATAGTAAGTTTGTTTAGCTTGTTTAATCAGGGTAGTGGTTAAATTTCGTTGACAACGATAATTTTCCCAAGAAAGTTCGGTTCGTTTTTTATTGTAAATACGAAGCAGACGATTTCGCCTGCGTATTGCCCGACGAACAATGCCATTCATCCACGGTTTGTCTCTTGGTCTTATAGTAACGGTTTTTCGCGGAATATATTTTTCGATAATAGCATGAAATTGAGCGACCCAAGTATTATAAACATTATCGATATCGAACTCACTATCGAACCAGGGGCGGATCTAGGGGTCGTCAAATCAGTCGCGCAACTGAAGTAAAAATTGCCTACTTAAAAAAAATTGACTCCAGCTATCTATAGTGGCCAGTAGATCGAGTTACTAAAATTTTGAATCGTACCGGTAGTCCAGTTATACGTTTCATGCTGCGGCAGAGCCTCTGCAAAGTAATGTTAGTCAGTCACGAACTGCGGTCTTACGCATGAAAGTTGACGGATTCGGCAAACAATTTGGCAAAGTTGCGGCAAACAATTTGGAATCTCTATACAGCTTGAAAAGAATATCGATGCCTCACGGGCGAATTTTGTTGACAAGCTACTGAGAGGCGCCATGAACAACACAAGCAGAAGCCTCGCTAGAAATTTTGGCGCAGAGAGCTACTGCTAGAGAAAGACAAAGCTTGCCAATAAGGTAGATAAATTTATGGTTTTATAGTGATGTATCTTTAGTTCATATTAAAGGTTTATAAACCGGAGTACCAAGCCATCGGTGTTGTTAATGATTGTCTGACATATGATATTTTAATATATTCGCTATGCTGTATTGCTGTATTAGCATAATTCTCGCTTCAAGAAGCTAAAATATGTTAATATTCAATGTCTACATTGTAAGCATTTGTTGATTCTCATGTTAGTGAATTTTATTTAAAATTTCTTTATATTTATGCATTAATCACACAACATGTACGCGTAACGCGTATACGTGTATTGTTTATCCATAGCCTCTCGACATGGCTTGAACATAGACCGCATTGGTCTGATGTAACATGATGATGTGAAATATTTAATTGTAGGTAGCTTGAAAAGCTCTTTGACTGGTAGCCATTCTGATGTTACTAGTTTATTAATAGTATATTTTGTGTTCAATATATAGACCACAGTAAGACTTTATTAATAGTAAGGGTTTAGTTTATTAATATTTGACTTAACATCTTTGACTTAGTTAATGAATATGTGGTTGTTTTTTTGGAGCTCAGGCTACTGGCAATTACTTCTTATGTATAGTTCTGTGTTTTTGGTAACAGAACAGTATATTTCCTTAATGCATTTGCTGCCATATGATTTTAGAAGTTTTACAATGATACACTTATAAGCATATAGTACCAATATGACGACGATTCTTAATCCACAGGCAAACATGTTAAATTGCTGCTGAGTTTTAAAGTATTATCATCAATATATCTTTGTGCATTTGTAGTTGTTCTTACAGTGCCTGTGGATAAGAATCAAATGTTCGTTTGAGTTTATCAATTTAATCTAAATATGTTTTATAATTTGGTTAATTAGGATTTAGGTTAATAGGTGTGTGTGGGGGGGGGGGACCAAATCGCATATTATGCCTTTGTACGGAAAATTCTAAAATCCAGTGGCGGACTATCAACATAAAAATTATTTAGCGCCCACTCCCCCCGTCTGGAGTCGACCACGCCCAGTCGAGACCACGCCCAGCGCCGATAACGCCCCGTCCACCAAAAAAATTTTGACTGAGGTACGAAAAATCCTAGATCCGCCCCTGATATATCGGTTGTCAGTCTAAGTGTTTCCTCTAAAGTGTTTCTTTATGCGTTTGCTATCGGAATATAATATAAGATAGAGAGTAAATTATAAACATAAATACATAACTCGTAAGCTTGGTAGATGTAAGATAACGAGTTTCACAATTCTATTTTAAATACAACTATGGCTTTTGGCAGTTTAAATTTGCATAGGTGTTTTTTAAAAGCCCAATTTTCTTACTTCCCCAACGTGTAAAACGCGAAAAAACTTTATTAATAATAACAAAAATTTGTAATAGTATAAACAGTGTATTTTATTATAAAGGATTTTCGTTTTTCTACTGCTCCGTACTCCGTGCTCCGTGTTTTACTAATAGCCGCTTTAATCCGACAAACGGAAGATTTTAATTTGTAAGAAATTGCGAGCTATTTATTAAATCCTTCTGTACTGGCTGTAACTATAGGCCGGCATCCTAACATTGACACGTTTAAAATATTTAGGACTGCAATTTTCTTGACCGCGGCAAACTTCGTCTATTACTGTCGTTCCAATTGAAGTGTTCCTCAAATATTGATTCAATACATTACCTCAGGTTGACCAATTCATTTCATCCAGTTCCTCGAGATATTCATACACTTCCTGTGAAAGAGCCAATTCCAAGTATTTCATCATTTCTATTTATGATTGGTTAGTTGCACAAACAACAAAGGTGATTGGTGCATTCAAACTATTCAACAGGAAGTTTACAATTATACTAGGAAGTGTATGAATATTTTGAGGAACTGGATGAAATGAATTGGTCAGCCCGAGGTAATGTATTGAATCAATATTTGAGGAACACTTCAATTGGAACGACAGTAAACGTCGAGCGGTTTTAGTTTATACTGAACTAGAAACATACTAGCGAGGGTATAACTTACCTGAATAAGTGACAGACAATTTTTCAACTCAACTAATCCTATTTATACTGGATTGCTTTATCATAAAGGTCCAGTAAGGAACATCCCTTACTGCAGTACTACTGTAAGGGAAAATCATGTTTGGTATAGCTCAACGCACTTTTCTCACATAGGAATGAGGAGAAAAGTTAATCTGCAAGAGTTTCGCTACACTCAAACTGAAAAGGTGAAAAATACCAAGGCGGCATTTTTCGATTTTTAATCCTGTATCCAATTTACCAAATACAGTGGATTTCCAGACTGAACGCAGTGTTTGGCTTCAAAATCTTACAAGCAGCCTCTGCCCGAAAACGTTAATGACTATAAAGCTCAAATATTTTACCAAACATGCAATGGTTAATTTTTACAACATTTTAACCATTATTTTAAAGATTTCCAGTCACCACGCTTTTAAGGGCAGTGGGACGGTCCTTTTATTTAATTTCCGTACTAGAACAGATTACAACTGATAAAGCCATACATGCAGTTTTGATAAAATTTGATTTACAAATTTTAAAATCAGTATATATAGTCTAACTATATATGCACTGTAACATGTGAATTATTATGATTTTAAGCTAATTCTTGAGCTTTTCTTACTGTAGTACTACATGAAATAATCTTTCGTATTCTTGTAATCTTTCGTATTCTTCGTATAATTGTACCTACTACTAATTTGTATATATCGACTTCTGCCTTTGAGGTATTTAAATGTGTAACATCGGTGTAACACAACAGGATTCAGTTCTTTGAACAAAGAAACATGCAAATAAATGTGGTTTCGGGATCCTTATAAACATTCATGAGTAACAAGATTGAAGAATATTTTCATTCATATTTTTTTCGCGAGAATCCTATAAAGAATCAGATTTATCTGTCGCGGTCCTGATATAAAATCGTGTTTTGAAGACGTATACATCAGTCACGTCGGTACTTTGTCCATGCTGCACGTGTAATGTTCTAATTGTACATGGAATATTTTTCACATTTTTTTAAAAAACATTTGATAAAACACAGGGTCCGAACTGAAGTTCGACACGTTTTCCAGATGACAGAAATTTCAGCAGCAATCATCTCTGTCCGATTTTATGATCGTTGCTCTCTGCTCTGAATCATTCTTTGAATTATATAATTTGTTCCCTCGGCACATTTTCACAAACCTCTGGCTATGAGAAAAATTGGCCTCATCAATCTTATCCTTAAGTTTGGTATACAAGATTATTTGACAATTCAGTGTTCGCCTCATGCTCGGCCGGTGCCCAGGGAATATTCACCGAGACGACGTGAAGTGAATATTCCCCGATAATCACCGGAGCCTGAAGCTATTATAATTGAGACACAAGTGTTCTGTGTTTTTTTGGACTAAATTTATTTTAGTTTCGCTTATTTCTTTATCCGTGATTTTTACAAAACGGCTATAGTTGCCATTTTGTAAACTAGTTTTTACTGTTATATTCACCTGCAAGTGAACATAAGGGAATATCACGTCAAATTTTGCCAATCACCACGTCGGATTTACGACGGTTTCAAATGGTGATTTGTTCCAATGTAGCTTTAAAATTGAAATTATATACAGCAATACAACATTTGTTAAAGGATTTCAGTGAAGCATTAACCCGTTCGAAAATAGAACATATACTTGTTGGGAAAAATATACCAGTTTATATATCCCTCCATGAACTTCAAGAAATTAACTTCAATAACATGCATGCAGTGGTTGCAAGTACACGCGTAAAAATCTCACACTGCTTGTCCTCAGTTGTATACAAGTCCCGGTCGCTTAAACCGGATCTGCCAAAACTGAAGGAAAGTTTCAGTCGTGTCCTCCGGCCAAAAGCGAAACTATTTAATCAACAATTGCTATGTCCAAGACGTCGAGCAAAATTAATTATGAATCACTCTGCCATTAATTATTCATGAGTCACCTAAAATGTTTTCTTTACGTCAAAATATATTGTACCAACAAATAAAAAACTTTGCCGACTATTTCGTATATCGAGGTTTCACTATACCGCTACCACTAGTTGTCTCTGGCTTAGTACCCATCTGATTGGTTAAATGGATATATCAAACGCATCTGATTTAATGATCCATCATTGGTGGCTGTAGTGGAAGTGAAAGTAAAAGTTGATTATAGTAGTTAGTTTCGCTCTGTTCAGATGAGCTAGTTCATTTTAGGTGCCAAATTAATTTTGGCCCCAATTTCTGATCGTGCTGTTTCTTTGTGACATCGCTTTTAACATGCTTTCGTAATTTCTCCTGGGAATATCAGACAGACTGAATGTTTCTACTCTCAAAACGTTCGAGCATAGTACGTCAGTCTTTTACTTGGCAGTACCAAATATATGATTTCACCAGTTTTGAAATTCAGCAAATTCATTCGTGAATAGTCGAAGCTGTCCGTTGTCTTCGAAAAGGCAGAAAAAGAAGAGCTTTTTCTCTTTAAATTTTCGTTCACATAGCACACCAAACTCTTTTAGAAGGTGATCAATAACTTTGGAATCAAATGTGTCATGAAGTTCGAAACTACGGTCGTATAGGAAAAGAGTCGACGGATTTCTTGTTAGTGGAGGCATTTCCTTCAAAATTGCAGAATGAACTTTTACAACAAACCTTCTACCATCTCGTGGTGGGCGAAGGATGAACTTTGGACTAATTTCTTTCCTACCTTCAAATTCTTCCATAATATCACGTTCAGCTCTTTTCGTGGAAGCGATCAAATAGCTTGACTTCTCACGCAAAACACTGCATATTTTCTTATGCTTAGACCAATGGTTTTCTTGGCAAGATCTGTTGCAATACCCAGCAGTAAAGCAATTTCCACACCTGTTTACTTCGCACTTCTTACGACAATTTGAGAAAAATGGAGCGAAAAAAGTTAATTTACTAACGTTTTCACTTCCTTTGTTATTCTACACTTCGTTATCCTGGCATTTGGCCGACTGAAGGGAATCGGGAGATTTTAAATACGACTTTCTCAAGTCGGCATTTCTCATCAATATTCCTTCTACTTCAAAGTCGTTTACATTTTCCACAAACCCAGGACCAATATTATCATAAATTTCATTAAGGTGGACGACAGATGGGGAAAACATTTTCCCTGCAGCTCGATATCCCACACGCACTCCCCCTGCTTTGTTTCGAGAAACTCTATTCATCGATATATTACACCATGAATTGCTCTGGGACCAAATTCCCCACGAACCGTTGTCAAAAATATTATTTTCTCTGATATCTACATCAGAATTAATGATATTAATTCCTTCCATGTTATTGTCAAAAACGTTATTCCGTATAAGCATAACATTCTTTGAGTTGGCGATACCGATCCCTGCGTGTTCACTCTGGTGAATATCACAATTAACTGCGACACACTTTGATGCTTCGGGTCCTATACACAACCCAATCGCACCATTGTTATACAAGCGACTGCCTTTCACAATCAACGTCCCGCCTTCGTGCACTACTAAACCAGCAAAGCCATTGTCACAAATGGAACAGTCAACAACAACCATATTACCTTGTCCAACACATACTAGTCCAACATTAGTACTATTCCTATTTCTTCTTGTAAAATTACATTTTTCTGCATTGAGCTCCCCTTCAGTTTCCACAAGAGCTATCGTATCATCATCATCATCATCATCATCATCATCATCATCATCATCATCATCATCATCATCATCATCATCATCATCATCATCATCATAAGATGTAAAGTTACAGTTAAGGATCTTGACGAACGAACCAGGTATACCACGCAATAGGCTTTTGTTCATATAGAATGACAGATTTGCAAGCATGCACTTCGATAAACGAATGGTACAGTCTAACTTCAAAGTAACAGAACAATCTCTTCTCGTACCAACCAGAATACAGTTGTTAAAAGGGTGGACAAATTTTTCAAAACTTAATATATATTCTTCTGATCCTAGAACCAAAATCTTCGACCCACACGTTTGTATATCCTGCGAATAAATCACATGTTCGACGAGGTCGTCTACGGAATCGCATATAAAAATGCGTTTCTGCAAATCTAAGAAACACTCTTTGAATGGTAAAAATTTAGAGAAAATACCCCTATTATAATAAAAAGCTAAAGCGGCAGCTATTTCAGCACTGACTTTCTCGTTCAAGCCATCAAGTGCCAAAGCTTTTCGAGCGTAACCCCTCCAGCAATCTGGACGACGTGTTATGTAATCATTCGCATCTTTTAAAGCATTTTCGTATTGCTTTAATTTTATGTAAACCATTGAACGGTTAGTAAGCAGCAGGGGATTGAAAGCATTATTGCCATCTTGAGCCAAATTTAGTGCAGATGAATACGCGTCTAATGCTTTCTTGTAGTGACCTTCTTCAAAATTCTTGTCCCCATCCATTTTTAATTTCTCTATTCTCTCTTCCAAATCACGGCAACTAGCCTCAGGACCAGGTTTTTCAGTCAGAGATTGAAGTGAAACAAAAGGATCCATACAACATCGTTTAATCTCGATTTGAAATGTCTTTGGTAAAGGAATTGGAAGTGGAAACAGGGAATTGGTTGAAACATTTTTTCTCAACGTTTCAAACTCTGTTAAAGGAAGCCAGTCTAATATGCGATAACCAAAGTTCAAAGTGCGCTTTGCTTCTTCTTGTTTATGATTTCCACTCAAATGAACAGCACATTCATAAAGAATTTGGGCCGTTTCAGGAAACCACAGAGGGTCCAGAAAAACAGAATCATGAGTTACTAACAGTTGCTCCATTTCCATCCTAAGATGATGACCATGCATACAAAATTTAGACCACATATAGAGGTGAGAAGGACTTTTAGGTAAATCAGAGACACAAACGTTTTGTTCTTCACCGTTGCTTTCATCCGAAATGACAAGCTTACTGGGTGAAGAACATTTAGAGATTGCATAAGAAAGCATCCGCGCAGCATCAATGAAACTCTTTGCTTTCGACTCAGAATCAAGACTTTCCCTTATTAGTTCCTGAACCAAACGATGGGTGCTGACAGTGCGTGCTTCGACATACGTGAAAATTGAAAAGTCAGTTAACAATTTTAGAACCTCACGGGAACCCAATGGGGATGACACACATTTACGAAACGCGACGTCTTCCACTTCGGGTGTGCCAACGTGGATTAATTCTTCTTCGATCTCATTTCCATTGAAAAATGAACAAGCATTCATAAATCGAACAGCAGCCTGACCATCCGGGCTCTTCCTCATATATTCCATGTTGATAAGCCATGTCGTGTGAACAGCAAGACGTTCGGGTGAGTCGTTACCTGCAGCACGTGCTCGTTGCCGACTGAGCAATCGCAAACGTTCAGCTTTATATTGCTCCAGATATAAAGAAAAACTGCATCCGCGCGTTTGAACATAAGCTCCAGCTTGATCCAAAGCAAGTGGCAGTCTTCCAAGCTCTTCACAAAGACTTTCTGCGACATTCTCAATATTTACCTCACGCGTTACGTTAGTTCTTAAAAAAAGAAATTGCTTTGCTTCTTCAGGCTGGAAACATTTCAGTTGAAGACAGGAATCCTCTTCAAAAACGGAAACTTCATTAACAATTAAGTCGGTTTGGATTTCGTCTAGTCAGCACAACGAAATGTCCAAATATATTCTCTTGTAAAGGAAAGGAAAGAAATTTCATCATACTGGACGAAAGGTCCAGTTGATCCAAGCAGTCGAGGACAATAAGACTTGGATCATGTGTAGTGCTAATTTTTTTCAAGGTATTTGACAATGTTAAGTCAAACGAACAGTGGCGTGCTGGCAGGGGGGGCCGGGGGGCCACGGCCCCCCCCAGCTGGCAATTCTTGCAGGGCGCAAAAATGAAAAGGGGGCGCCGATCCCGCGCCGAGTATTGAAAGTGGGTGGGAAAAAACGCATTCAAAAAATATACTTCCGCCGAGAAAAGATGTGTTTATAGGCTTATAAACAGACTAAGCGCATAGGCGACAAAGTGATATATCAAATTACACAGACTCAGTTTTGTCTAACCGTATTTGCAGTAATTTGCTACCTCACGGCTCACACACACGAAATCGTTCACATAGAAATATGAACTGTGATCACACGCAATGTCTCAACACCGGAATATTGGTCAGGTTTCGAAGCGATCACGGGAATCATGCCCTTTTTTGCTGGTATTATGCCCTTTATTACGCTTCACGAATCACAAGAGCGGCGCAAATTAGATAGTTTAAGTTATGATAATGTAAAGTTGTGTACGTAATTTAGTTGTTTGCGCTAGAAACATCACGAGTAATGTGAGTAAGGAAATAATGCTGAAACGCGCCCTTTTGGCAGCCAGGCAGGGAAACCTTAAAATGCGTGGAGTCCGTGTGTTATTGTATAAAAGAGCTGTATGTTGTAATTGTATTCAGATCACTAGATCAGTAGAGAATAGAATTGGGATTAGATTAATCGCTGGAAGTTGTTGGCATTGCATAATATAAGTACTATACTACTAAATTCAAACCAAATTGCAAATTTCGACACGTTATAATGCCGTTTCCTGACCATCAGGTTTCTGTCAAATCTTCCCCCAAAGTCCAGGAAATGGCATTTCAGAGACTCTAAATTCAAAAATTTTCCTGGGGGGCATGCCCCCGGACCTACCCTAGACAAACCTCGCACCTGCGGCGCTCGGCTCGTGCCTTCGGCCCTCGTTTATCAAGCGAAACATTATAGGGGCGCATATTTGTTGACAGCCCACTGGCCCCCCCAGAAAAATAGTACCCAGCACGCCACTGCAAACGAACCAAGTAATGCACCAGTGCTTAATGCGATATCGTTCACTGTTTTGTCGAGAAACGTATCATCTTCAGCAGAGAACCAATAAACACCTCCCTTGTAAAAATCCTTCATCTGATGAGCATACTCACAAACTAAGCTAGTTTTACCAATTCCGCCCAAACCACATACTGCTGCAACACCAACTTTATTTTCGTTCAACGTTTCCTCGACTTTTAAAATACGTTTAAGCTCTTGGATTTCTTCAGTATACGACCAGCAAAACAACGATTTCGTGGAGGTGCACTGAAAACATAGGGAATTCTCTCTTCTTCCTTAATATAATATCTCGACAGTTCAGAGGAAAATTTCTTCTCAAGAAGCTTTATTTCTTTAGTATTGTTACTTCCCTGAATCGCACATCTTTCTATTCTCAAGGAATTGTTATTGCCTTGAATCTCGCATTTTTCTACTCTCAAGCGCAGATCATGTATTTCCTTATTCATGTTGAACTGTATCTCATTGATATTTGAAAGTACTGTGGTCATCTGCAAAATAGTAAATACATTTACATGTAGTCACTGTTTATATATTCGTTTACAGTATGTATAGTTGAACTGGACGACTGTCTTATAGCGATGCCCGCTAGGCATGACGGTAAGAGTGGTCACTGTGCAATCAATCGAACGAAATTGCGGCGATACGATTTTGTTTTGAAGATGAAATAGCGGGTTTTGAATCGATCGATAACTTTTATCTACAGGAAAACAACACTCTTGTTGTTTTCCTGTAATTAAAAGTTATCGAGCTAACTCTTTGTCGAGAGCGCTGCACCCAAATCGCAGAGCCCCAGGTTCGATTTCTGCCAGAGGGTCCAGGGGCGTAGAAACCGGGGGGGCAGGGGGGCCAAGGCCCCCCAAGTTTGGCCCTTTTTCCGGGAGCAAAGTGCCCTTTATTTTGCCTGAAAATTTTTAATTAAAATTGCATTTTTAGCCCAAGGTGCACTTTTGAAAACTTCAATGTACTTTTTTCCTGAAAAATGTTTTAATTTCCGGAAAAAATATCATATATCCGAAAAAAATTTTTGTATTCCGGAAAAATTTTTCTCGTATTTAGGAAAAAATTGTGGTATATGAGAAAATGTTTTATGATATGTCCGGAAAATTTTTTTTGGACCCCTAAAATGGTACACTGACCGAAAATTTTTTGGCGACGGGGGAGGGGGCGGGGAGGTCTCAAAAAATATATTTTTAGATGCCCTTTTTTTTTTCGAAAAGTGCCCCTCAAGGCCTGGCCCCCCAACTTTTCGAAGGTTCCTACGCCCCTGAGAGGGTCTAAAGCTTTCCACAGGGCCTATTTTATTATTAAGTCTTTATATCAAAAAGTCACATCAGACGTGTAATTTTAGAAATTCTAAATTATTTACAGTTAAAATGTAGCTATTTCAAGTAGGCTAGTTCTCAATTATCTATTCCAATCTATAACTAGAAATCTATATTAGGTCTAGTTAAAAATAGTTCAATAGTTAAGAAACGATCGTTTCAATTTTTCTGTTCAAATTTGTGGCAAAATAAAGTCATGTTCCTGTTCTCTTAATAGGGAGTTTACGATCTACGACGCGGCCGGCTCGACGACGCGCTTTCAAAACAAAAAAAATTGGTGTTTCCACAAACAATAGTATTATATGTTTTATTGCCATGCAAACCTACAATGAACTTACAAAGAAATTTGTCATGCAAGACAAAAACTGTCAATAATTCGTGGTCCCAGAAGTATTGTCAACCGCGTTGTCATTCTCAACACAACGTTAAACAAGCATTATTACGCCTTTCAGTCAACGCGAAAGCTTAATGCGACCCAAGGGGTGTTATTTAAAGTTGAAATTACAGCAAACACTGCATCGCTTCAGCCGAACGTAGCAGTTTGTAAGGTTATTTGAAAAAGCGTGAAATATTTTTTACAGCTGAAATTTTGAGCTGAAATTTAGACCGCGTCGTTGAGCCGGCCGCGTCGTTGAGCCGGCCGCGTCGTAGATCGTAAACTCCCTAATGTCTTTTGTTTACGCTCAAGACTAAATTCATACAGGGGATAACCTGTCTCTCACTTCAATAACTTCAGATATCTTCGATATCTTAATACATTTTGTCGTTTTTCCATAACGATAAGCCCGGCGAAGGAACTTGTCTATACGATCTAGATATTTCTTTTGAATTGCTGAACCCACACTTCATAAATGCCACATAAAAGAGATACATTGCTGCTCGATTGAAAGACTGAATAGTTTTAGTAATTATAGGCGCCAAAAGTTGTGAAAAGTCTTTCCATAGCCAATATGGGAGTCCATGAGGACCTGGCGCTGTTCGTTTTACTTTCATTAAAAAACAGTATAGGCTCATCAACGGTAGGAACCCGAGTGCCAACAGGAATTTATATAGGCTGGGGGGATATGTAATTCGCATCTGTATTTACATTTTCGGTACGAATTGATAACATGTGGATCGACTAATATTACTGTTTTTGCTTTTTCTACCAGTCATTTTATTAACAGCATCCAACCACTTTTTGGATCCTGGAGTATTTTTCCTATTCTCATCATTAATAGCACGAACAAGATTATCACGAATTAGTTCATCAATACGTTTTTGAATATCACTGTTCACTCTCTTTGTTATATTCTTGTTTCCTATCTTACATAAGTGTTTGACCAGGGGAGACATATATATACAGTATATATATATATATATATATATATATATATATATATATATATATATATATATATATATATATATATATATATATATATATATATATATATATGGCGGATCGCGTACAGCTGCTCCGGCATGGTTAGGTTTAGATAAATGTATAAAATTTATACTCGAAATTTGCATCTGCAACATTTATTTAGTTCATCGAGTGAGATACCCAATAATGCTGATAAATAGTATGGTTGGGCTCCATGTGGTTAGCCTGGTAAAACAAGGTTGTTTGCTGAATTGTGGAATGTAGCATGTGAAAGGTCAATGAAAGGTCAATGAAGGTGTGTAACTTGTCAAAAGTATAGGCAGTAATTTCCAAGAAAGTATAAACCATAAGAATTTTTCATTTGTCCCATGAGAGCTAATCCTGCACCAAACTATTTGCCATCTGAATATTTATATATTTAATAAAACAAGCCTAAAAATCTTCAAAATTCCAAAAATTGAAAAGTAATTTTAATAGCAAAATTTTTTAAAATACAAAATAGCGTATGGAGACAAACAATAGTACAAACAACACATATGGATAAAAAAATCAAAAAGTTAAATTTGACTTTAAAGTATCTCCCAAAGAATAAGACAACAACGATGAAATTGAGAAAAGAATTTTACTTTTAAATATTCTCCTATGGCTGTAGACAATTTATTCAGATTGACGAAATTGAAGCTTAGAAATATGGTCAAAGCGGGGACGCTCTAGGTCTGTACGAACATTTAAATCATGTGCGAATCAACAGTACGAACATTTAAATCATGTGCGAATCAACTGTACGAACATTTAAATCATGACAAAGGTTGTCAATTTCACGAAGTTTAGAATGGCATTTATAAACATATCGAATCTAAATAACCTAGAGATTCAATACCAGCAAAAAGTCGCTAAAAATCTGCCATTTCATCTTCAAACAAAATCGCTCGCTCCTACAATCGTCATAGTTTCGTTCGATTGCAAACTACATGACCATTGCTACTGTCATGCATGGCGGGCATGCATCGCTATAAGGCAAGTCGTCCATTGGCGACAAAACTATAAACAAAGTAGTCCATCCGATCCGCCCGACTATAATACTGATTAGATGGATTTCTAACAAAATAAAATAATTTTCAAACCTGTTTTTTCTCTAAACTCCATGTCTGGACAGCTTCAAAAAGTTCGTTGACTTCACCTCTGAGTAAAGTCAAAATTTCAGAGTCGACAGGTTGATCAAAACACAACTGTAATCCTGAAATAAAAAATACTTATGGAACCTCTACTTGCCAACGGCTTTCCGATATGGACGCCTCCCTATTGGCACATAATTATTTTCTTTTGAAGGCCTCTATGAGACCGATACTTTTCTAAAGCCCATTTTCCGCTAAGCGAATTTGTTCGCGCGAAGCGAAAAACATGCAAGCCTGGCAATTTGATTGGTCTGCGAAAACCGCGAAAACAAATTCACCTAGTGGAAAATGGTCTTAAATGCCATACAGACCAATGAGACCATACAGACCGAACGCGAAGTCGACAATGCGACGGATAAAAATTTTACGAGATATGCAGACCAAATAGCTAAAATTGCTTTAAGTGGTTCCGAATATTTAAAAAACATAGAAAAATATTAAAGTTAAGGTGGCTTGATATAGTTATCACAAGAACCCTGCTCAAGAATCACGAACTCAAAACTGGGTGACCATTTTTACGCGCAGGTCGCGGAAACTGATTAACAAAATAAAAGAACTTCCAAAATGACCTGACGTGAGCAGTTGCTAGCGCAATATCACGTCATTGCGCGTGTTCTATAGCGTTTTATGTCAATTGCTGACGTCATTAGAATTTTCCATTTTAGAAAAACAATGCGCTATATCTCTTTATTTTGTCTGGTGACCTATGTTCAAATTTTGCATGCTGTATTGCACCGCTAAAAACTTTCTTTATACAAAAAATAAAAAATTCTGTAATGCCAAAAAAATTTTACCGAAGAATACGACATTTTCGCATTTTCCAAAAAAATGGCATTACAGAATTTTTTATATTTTGCTAATTGTTAGCTTTTTGTCGAAGTAAAATAATGCACGAAAAAAAATTGGGGGTCACCATCCTTTTTTTCCAACTATACGAGACGATAGGCCATTTTGGAATGAATTTCGTACACGTATGTCGTCATAGCAACGAACCACAGTATCTATTACTAAAACTAATATAATTTGAAAGTAGAGTTATCAAAATATATAAAAAACCCAATATCTGCTGAATAAATCCTAAAAATGCGTAGTTTGAACATGTCAAAGTGTTAAACGGCTGAATTTTTGAAAACTGTATCGAGCCACCTTAAATGTCATTGAAAATTGAAAATTGGCGTTGCGTTGCCAAATCGAGTCCGGTCCCATGCCTTTATACAGGGCATATTAGAAATATCTGACGTATCTGTTCATAAGCATATTTGATAGGCTTGTCCAAGAAAGGGCTTGTATTCAGGGGGAAGTATGTGTATTGTTTTGTATTAGGCATGATACGCAACACAAGGATACACATGCAATATCCACGCAAAATTGTGAAAAAACAACATAATGTTTATCATTTGTGGACCCTCCGCAGGCGGGGATTCTGCGAAATATTACCCGAAGTGATGATATTCATCACTACAGGGCCTCTTTTAACATATAGACTGGGGACATGTCCCCCCCCCACCAGCCCTCTTACTGCGGCCCCTCCATGCAGTCGGCAATTTTGCCCCCCAGTGCAAGGTCCCCACTGCAAGGTCCCTAACTACCTGTAGCAGGTGGTCAACCAGCAATTATATATCAAAGTGAGAAATGATGTTAAGTTGTTAACATTTCCGCTGAATTTGACCATCATCTGCACATTAGCGGAGTCAACCGAGTCAGTTGACTAGGTAGGAATTTGGGGACTGAAATTTAAACATCGCCAGAAACCTAAACCATGGCTGAAATAATTTGCTCGTAGAAAAAGGCATGAAATGGCATTTTAGGAATTAAAGAAATTCTGTTTAATTTTTCCAAGCAAAGATACTCCAAAGAGACCACCCTATCTTGCTCTTCGGTCACACTGACAAGACGAATGTGTCGATGTCAAGTACCCCAAAAATTTGTCGCTGGGGTTTGCGTTTTATTGCCTAGTTTTAAAGTTATCGGCATTCGAACAGCGGCGTATAAAAAGCGCGTAAGTTCGAATGCTGTTAATTTTAGAACTAGGCAATAAAACACAAATCCCAGCGGCAAATTTTTAGAAAATTTCTTATTTTACCTTGTCACGTTGAATCCAATAAAAAAATAAAAATCCTGACCCCCTCGAAGCTTTATTTAAGACCCTATATTTTATGTTCAAATGTGTGTTTTTACCGGAAGTAGTAACCAGTTACGCATTCTGATTGGCGTAGAGTGAAAATGTCAACGAATGCATCGATTGGTCGAAAAAGAAATTCCTCCTTGTTGGCGCTCAGCCTAATGCAAGTACAGCAATCGTATGATCTTCGCGCAAGTATGTTTTGGAGCCTTTTAGATTGTGTTTCCCCGAAAAAATTCCATACTTCACAGTGAATCAGATATTATAATATCCCACGCTGCATTGCATGTATAATCATAGAATATAATTGGGTGAAACACAATAAAAAAACAAAGCGTCACGTGATACAAATGCTGTTTTTTTATTGCACAATTTAAATTTGAGGTATAATTTTGGATATTCATAAGACCTCGGTATCGCAAAGGACAGAGCCTGGGTAAAGGAATGCTAGCGAAGTGCATGATAAGTGGATTAATGATCGCGGATGTGTGGCCATGTTGAATGGCGGGTCATTTGATCACTGATCTCAAAAATATCGCAGTTTATCAGGAGAAGATTAATATGTTGAATGATGAGCCAGATTTTATAAACCTAGGCGAAAATAGTTTCAAAAACGTTCTTCAAAGCAAAAGAAAGTTTTAAATTAATGTCTAATATGGATTTGTCACTAAATAATGGGGATAAAATCTCAGATCATTACCTTTGTCTTTCCAGCTATTCAATTCATCACACAATTTCTGTTCATCTTCAAGTGAGAGATTGATATTCTGAAGTAAAGTTTCCATACTTTGACAAGCAGATTTAAATTTTGCTTCAGACCATTCTGCAAAGTTGCAATGTGCCCACTCGTTTCTGACGTCTGACCGAACAGTGTTTGCATGAGCAGCAGCTCCTGTGAATGGCGCAGCTTCGCCAAGCACTGATAAGACTGTAGATATGTCCATTGTTTGGTCAAAGCCAGTGAACTTGGGCATGAATGGCTGAACAAACAACTTTCCCAGAGACAATGGATCTTTCACTGTATAATCAAATGCAAGTGGCGATTTATGAACATTATTGTTGTTGATATTTTTATAGTTGAGGTTTAAGGTTGATGGGTGTAACCTTTTTTGGTGTCGACCATAAACTTGTTTGTCAATTCCCGTCGGTGGTTGACATAAAACCTGATGCCACTTTGGTATTTCAGTAGCGAGAACATTTCTCAATGCAGGAGTAAGCACTTTGGTCAAACATACACCAATGACAACCCATCTTCTTTCTTCGTTTGATATAAGAGATGTACTGCTGGCAGTAGCCATTACTGATCTACAAAATATTGATACTTTGAATCATCACTGAGTCACGCGTGCATGGAGCGCGTATGGCGTAGGCCCATAGCGAGGGACTAATTAGTAATTACGTTGGGCTATGTATACCCGAGAATAGTTGTGAGTTGCAGACGGTTTATTTGCGAGGCGGAACACTCCAAAAGCGGCAAGACAAAGGAGGCGAAAGACCGATCTTAAACTAGTTATTTCATATCACTTTTACATCGTTTAATTATTTTATTAGCAAAATTGTGTGTCTTAATATTTTACTTTAATAACACGGCCCTTTGAAAATCAAACTACGCCGTTCTACTGAAAGGATGTACGGTGTAAAAATTCTTATTAAAGATTAAATTAAAGATTAATTAGTATACAGCTGTTTCAAAAAAGGTTGTCCTTCAAAATCTAGCATTGTAACTATATGTAACAGTGTACTAGGATTATTTGCCCAATCAAAAGCCCTAAAAAGAAGTTACCCATCACTCTTTGTGCACTTAGAGTTTAAGGTCGAAGGACAACCTTTTTTGAATTAGCTGTATAATGGTAATTGAAGTGAGTGTAGTGTAATTTGGACTCAAACTCAAACGCGTGATTACAAAATCGCACGTTCGCGAAGCGGGAGAGCGATTTGTAATCACAAGTTTAATTTCAATCCAAAATTACACGACATGAAGTTCAGTTTCCAGTTTATTATATCCATTTTGAAATCCTAAACATTTTTGTAAACCGGAAACGTTTTTGTTTGCAAAAGACACACCTTCGGTACCTCCCTGAGTGCTGCAGCATTAGCAACAATAAGATGAACTTTTAGTTTTGTCAAATTGTATTTTATACGTTCAAAATACTGCAAAAATTTTAAAGAAATGAAAACATTCATAAAAAATAAGAGACAACACAAGTAAGTTTAAACATATTGTAGGTTGTACGAGTTATTTGAAAGAGTTTTGGTGCAGTTTTGTGCGCTTAAAATTGGATATACGATAGGCGAATTTACCTTCAGTTGTTTTGCCTGACCCTTATGATTATGTTCCTGTGATAGTTTACTGTAGCTATCATATTACAGCATTTGGGTGGGTGGGTTGTTGGGAGGGTGGGCGGTTGGGTGGGTGGGTGGGTGGGTGGGCGGTGGTGTCGCACTCCCCCCCCTCCCCTCCAGTAGATACGGCCTGCCTATAGTGTAATCCTAAAAATTAACTAGGGGGCTTTTCAAGGGATATCTTCTTCCTTGAAAGAAATACGGGAAATATCGTTGACAGAATTAACAGTCAACACGTGGGAGCCTTCATGCAATGATTGTACAAGACCTTTCAGACAGTAATTTTGAAATCGTCTGGGTTCATACTCGCCCGACTCGTCTTCCAAGGGGAATTCCCTGCATAATTACTGGAACGTTATACCATCCTCCAAGTGCTAAAGCAAATTGTGAACTTTCCCACCCGTGGCCGGAACACCTTGGATCTCATCTTAACTAATTTAAAAGATTATAATTATGCTTACCCTACTAAGCTCTCTCCCAGTCGCCCTTTGGTCTTTCTGATCACGTAACGGTTAAAGTAGTTTACCGCTCTCCCGAACAATAACATCCAAGTCCAAAACAAACATTAAAACAAGGGACATCAGACCAACGAAACGTCTAGCGATGAGAACTTACTTGGAAGCTGTTGATATTCAAACCTTAATATATAATAAAATCTCTTGTGAGGAAAAACTATTACTGTATGTTGGAAAGAATATCCCTTTTCCAATAAAGAGAAAAACAATAATCGCTAACGAGCCTCAATAGAAACCTAAAAAAGATGATCCGTGCATGCCAAGAAGCCTTGTCTTTGGGTGACATGGTTACCTTCCGATTTTACCTTCAGTATACGTAGTTGGGGGTGTTTTCTAAAACCAGCTGTATTGAAAAAAGTTGACCCACAACAGTTCGGTACATTACCTGGCTAGAATATCACCTACTGTATGCTCGTATTAGCATGCTACATAAATGGAACTGTGACACTGATGGCAATAGTGCAACAGTGAGTATTGTACTATTCGATTTCAAAAAGGCCTTTATTAAAGGCGATATTTTAATTCAGAAACTAGTGTCGTACGAAATTCCAAATAATGTTGTCAATTGAATAATAGATTTCTTGTTGAACCGTAAACAAAGAGTTAAACTCCGCCAAGGTTGTGTTTCGGAGTGGGGTTCGGTCCCAGCGGGTGAACAGTACCGCAAGAAACAAAATTGGGCCCTTAGCCATTTTTAGTCATGATTAACGATTTAAGATAGACGACTCAAACATCTCCGAAACTGTTAAAAAAGACGAAGTCAGTCATATCCAATCAACCGTAGATGAGTTCGCACGCAAGTCCAAAGCCGAAAAGTTCGTGGTGAATGAGCGTAAATGTAAGGAAATGAGAATCAGTTTTACAAAATCGGAAAAGGACTTCCCACCAATTACGGTAAATAACGCCTCCCTTAAAGTTGTCCCACATGCCAAAATTCTGGGCCCCAATGTATCCGACAGCTTAAAATGGAATTATCATGTTAGCACCACTCGTTAAAAAATCTTCTAAAATATTGTACTTTTTAACTCAGTTAAAGCGCACCAAAGTGGGTTGTTTGGAATTGGTACAATTCAAATCCTGCAACAGATATTTAATTGAATATGCTCCCTACGTATCTTTCGAGAGATCTCGAAACTATTCGAAGAGAAGCAATGCGAATCATCTACCCAACAGAATCTTACGAAGATGCCTTATTATTAGCAGGTCTAACCTTATATTCCTACAGCGCCAACAGATCACCAATTAAGTCTTCCTAAATATTATGAACGATGATGCACACAAATTACATGAACTATTGCCTGCTAAAAATAATATCTCACTTAATTTGAGAAAAAAGACAAAATTCATAAACGAAAGAGTGACTACGAACCGTTTTAAAAATAGTTGCTTTTTGGACTCTTCGAAAGCCTTTTCTCCGTATGGTTAGATGGCCTATTCTATAAATTATTTCATCTCAGCTTTAATTAATGGGAAATCCTGGAGAATTCTGAGGAACTGGTGTGGTAAAATGCGTTGTTGTGTTTCTGTAAACAGTCTGCAATCTAACATGTTTCCTGGCAAGCAGGGTATAAGACAAGGAGGAGTGCTATCGCCATGGCTATTTCCCTGCTTTAACAATGACATTCGTGCAATATTTAAACCAATTGACAGTGTGCTCAAGGTTGACAATATCCATTACAATTCGGTGTTGGTTGCGGATGACATCACCTTATTGTCACTCAGGGTAAAGGGACTGCAAGGCGTACCAAGTGCAATTGAATCCTATAGCAAGAAATGGAGCAAAAGTGTTGAAGTGACCTTCGGAGAGAGAACTACAACAAATCCCGTTGGCAAATTGACCAGGGAATGGTATTTAAACGATGTAAAAATCACGGAAAAAGTTTGTGGGAGCATGTCGGAATCTCTTTGAGTGGGAATTTCTCCAGCACGGAACGAACAAAGGCTGCAGCAAATAAAGGAAAGGCCTACGTTGGCGCTTTAATGAAAGCTAAAATACGACCTGCTGGACTAAATCCAACTATTGAGGCGAACGTTTGGACTTTGGAGATCATATGGCCTCTCCATGTTATATGGAAGCGAAGACTGGTGGAACCTAACACAAACAGAAGAGGAAATACTAAATCGTGCTAATGCCTTTGCTGCAAAAAGAATCCAAGGTCTCTGCATAACCACCAGTTCTCATGGAGCCCTTGGCGCTATTGGGATGTGGCAAACATATTGACAAACAAAGACTTTTATCTCTTGGTTCCCTTTGTCGCTCTCCGCCTGGCACATTGCAAAAGCACCTATTTCTATACAGAGTATTCTCACATCTTCATCAGGAGAATTCTCAAAGTATCGCGGTTTTGCAAGGGATATCTATAAAATACCTGAAACATACAACCTAAAGGACTATGTCACAAACTACCTATAGCAACTGGTGAGTTTTCCAACAAAACCAAGTGGACGAAAATGGTTAAAGAACAAATACATCAAAGACAGACGGAAATATGGAAAGAAACCATTAGTGCAAAACCAAACTTAAAGCACTTAATTGCAAAAACGTCACACAAGTCTAAAGCCGCTTCAACACTGGAGTGTAACAAGGCGAAATTTAAATGATGTTATAAAACGTACAGGGAGGATAAGCGCCCTTCCACTATACACCCCTGTGGTTAGTGTTATGACGTTTGTTAGAATAATTAACAAAAGTAATATTTTGCATGCTAAATTGTTTTTTGTTTTATATCACGTGACGGACACAAGTTGTTGTTGTTGAAATATTGTTCAAGTCTTGCGGGAGCTAGGTCTTATCCAATTTAGAACGAACACGATGTATACAAGTAAAGGTTGTGGAGCGATTATAATGTTGATATTAAGATTGAAGTACTATATCAATAAATATTCGATAGTTTACAAATTGTAAATTAGTTTTGAAAACCCTAGTCGGGAACACAACATATATTCAATAAAGTATGTATTTGACAATAACGACCGTGGTGATTATGGTAAAGTTAATCGACATTATGTCTGATGTAAATTCTTTTCATTATACGTAGTACTCTTCATTTATAATTATTAAAAATATATAGCCAATAGATAGGAATGACTGCATGGAATGTTATAAATGTATGTTATTAGTATAAAGTATTAACATAACTGCATTGATCATCTGACTTGTAAAGTGTACCGAATATAATATTACATTCACAAGAGCGACAGTAGTCACAATACCGTTAACTTTAGTAAATTTCAATCGTCGTAATTGGATCAGTTATTATTTGTACTTTTAAGATAGAAAAAGTGAGTGATGTGTTCAACATACCAGACGTTCTTCAACATAACATATTAAGGCAGACAAACAATTACCCAAGATAACTGAACTTCGACATTCGTAGACGTAGCGGTTTGAGTTTCTTATACTGATTCACTTTAAATATACAGCTATTTCAATTAAGGTTGTCCCTGAGCAAAGCGGAAAGTCGAATACGAGCGCAAAAGGCTTGCTGGGAATCGCTAAAAGATTAATGAATTTTTTAGTGATTCCCAGCAAACCTTTCGCGCTCGTATTCGACTTTTCCGCTTTGCTTGGGGACAACCTTAATTGAACAAGACGCCTGCTCAGGCGTTCACACTGACCTGAAACTATGATACATGGAATACAAATCGTGAACCGCAAACGGAAAGCGTAAAAGGCTGAAGTGTGGCGTGATTTTGAGGAATTGCTTTCGTATAAATGTCCAATGAAACACAAGTATTACAAATGCAAACGTTATCCGTAAATGCACATGGTCTCTGAGCATGCGATACGCTATAAACGCAGACAACGTTGTTTACATTCCGTGAGTCTGTAACGTATAAAATTCGACCAGTGGGGAAAGTTTGTACTTTCTGACTATATATTTACTATTAAATTTTCGAAATCTCCCCCGCGTGCACAATTTCGATTCCAAACTTTCCAGTCAGGAAATTCGAAAAACTCTGCGACCAGATATCGCATTTACAGAGACGTTGCACGAAAAAACAAACCAAATCAACTTCCAAGAAAGTGCAGAGTAGGATAATAGTCACTCATTGAATGGCTTGCCATCTTGAAAACTGATCTGTATAGTAAACTGGAACGACTGGAACACTGGAAACTGAGCCTGCGATGCGCTAGCGCAAACTCGATTTCTCGACGACGAAAAAAGCAGGAAAAAACATATAATTAGGGATTTAAGACACTTGACCTTTCAGGTCAGTGTAGATAGCTGTATACACGTTTTTTAATGAACACTTGTGAACCACCGCAACTAACGGTTAGCTAATATAGTTTTTCATGCTGATAATTTGTTTGGGTTTATTGGGGTAATTTGTTTCACGTCTGTTTACGTTTATATTAGCCTACGGTGTAGACCCCAGCAGAAACACGTTTCGTGAGGGGTCTACGAATAAACGAAGAAAAGCTTGCCCGGTGTACGTCATATCCGTTTTACGTTTTGGGTAAATTAACTCCAATTTATTCAAATTTCTGAAGCGTGCGTGAATGTAAATTTTCATTTGGCGCTTTATATTAAAATGTTCCATGGCGGTCTTTGTGCAATAAAATATACCCTGACTATATATATATATATATACTCAACCATTAAACACATGTTCGAACGGACTAAAAAGTTCTTGTCATTCGTACAAACTGTTTATAGGCTGTTGAAGGCTTGAAACTTGTCAAGATATCCAATTTCCGAAGTCGAAGACAAAGTCGATTTCACACTAAATGTAGCCGGCATAAAAGCGCAAGTCGGCTCGAATCCTAGTTGGTTCACGACATTTATCAATAGCGTTTAATGCTGTTTCGTGCACGTTGGTTATCGTATTGTCTAGGCTCTAGTTCACATATTAAACTGTTCTTTGAAGCTTCTCCGTTTCACCGTTTGTTTACCAACGCCAGGCGGGTGAAATGGAGAAGGAAAGGTCGTCCTTAGTCCTTACGTACAGTGTCCTTGCTGTCCAAGAAATTAATATCGCTTTTATTCGACGGGACTTTGAAGTAAAGAACGCATTTGTATTGCACAAAGCCCGCCATGGAACATTTTAATGCCTTTTAATAAGCGCCAAATGAAAATTTACATTCACGCACGCTTCAGAAATTTGAATAAATTGGAGTTAATTTACCCAAAACGTAAAACGGATATGACGTACGCCGGGCAAGCTTTTCTTCGTTTATTCGTAGACCCCTCACGAAACGTGTTTCTGCTGGGGTCTACACCGTAGGCTACGTTTATATAAGCTAAGAACATCGGTGTGAAAATCTTGCTATAGTTTAAAACATTGTCGTTCAGAGTGTGATGTCTGGCAACCGCACGAGAAATCTGTTTTATATGTACAGTAAACCGCTAATATTTATGGACAAAAACGTTTTACACTGAGTAAAATGGGATTCAATCGTGAAGAGACAGAAGAGCGCTGTCTTGTTGTGCTGTCGGGTTTCGCTCTTATGAAAGCTGCAATTAAACTACCAACTTTTCATTTCCGGTCCTTTAATCTTTATGTAATAACATTGATAACATTGTAGTTGGAATTTTACCTGTATTAATCAAATCTAAACAAATAAAGCAAATCATAGTTCAGAGTCTTTCAGCACATACTTTACGTTATGGTTTTGCCGTGTGATATAATTTAGCACCTAAGTATTTCATAATAGCGATAGATTTCATGCAAACAATCCGATAAAATGCTGGTTCAAAGAAGAATAGATTTAGTTTAGATTTTTAACTGTTAAATACATGTATGCATCATCATAGCATGAATATTTCTTCTCAGATTTATTCCGTGTCGTATGAAAAAGCAACGCGATTTTGAGAATGCGGAAATGGTGTCTCATAGAACCTAAAATGATTTAAATGCAACATTTCTGATCAAAATCACATTGGGATTTTCTCCCCCCCCCCCCAGCATTACAGAGAGGAAATAAGGTGACACTGACCCCCCTTCAAGGTGACTTTTCCAATTTCATTCCGAGTAGAAATGTCTGGAAAAATTCATGTCTTCGATGTACTTTATAATCTTCGGAATTCTGCTAGATTTCACCCACAAAATGCTTGAAATAGCAATTCAGGGACCCTAGATTTCAAAATTTTTCCTGGGGATGCATGCCCCCGGACCTTCCTAGACGAACCTCGACCGCTCATAATTTTCGTTCTGCCTTTTTTCCTGTTTTGCCCCCCCCCCCCCAGTGAAAATTCCTTAAAAAAGGCACTGGTCGCTGTCGTCATGCAGGACTTCGTTATAATGCGAATTTTAAATTTGACCAATCAGTGTTCGTTATACATTCATGACAGTCCGCCATATATTTGAGATCAGTGAGAATGACCACCCACCGAAACTACTGAGCTATACTATATAACTGGAAGACCTGCATGGTATAAAAAAGTGTCGCCAAAAGCATGGCGGATCTGACGCCATTGCCATGACTACTGACCCTAAATTCATGGCAACTACCACTGTCCCAACCGCGACCCTAAGCTTTAGACGATGTACAACACCCCCCTGGTTTGACCCCCAAAATTTTGTTTTTGAGGTAAAATTTCACTGAAAATCTTGATATTTTTCTTCCAATTTGCTTGAATTATAATGGTACTGAATTTTTGGGCCGATCGTATGTATGAGAATTCTCCAAACAAGAACTAGAAGAATATTTTTATTTACTGGTAAGATTTTTATATATATTTGAATATTCCTAGATACCATATTTGCTCGGGGAAAATAAGCCAAAATCTCGCAAAATTCCTGGGTACTAATTTGAAAACAGGCATTCAACAGTTCATAACTAAAGAAGAACTTGAAAATCTCGGGTAACCGTTTAAATGTCTTATATGTAGTTTTTTCAAGCTTTCAAATTATGTAAGTCATTTGTGTTAGAAATGTATTTGATATTTCAAATTTCTTAACTGTAATACAGTTTAATACAAAATTCCGAGAAAAACGTGTCGGCAGGAGCCCACAAGAAATTCTAACACGGCCAACATACAGAAACGTACTTACTAGCCTTCAGGGCACAATATGAAGGCAAAATGGAATTGTCCCACGATATAGTAATTTTTTTCCTTCTATCTGCCGGACTATAAATGCCGGTAGATCCAGAAATTTTAAGGCATATCACTGACTTGGAAAGTAAAGTAAAGTACAGAAACTTGAAGAAGAAAACAAAAATCTTCGGTCATGATGCCTCATTCTAGACAAATTGAAACATAATGATTCAAAGTTCCAGTTCTGGATTGGATTCCCTAATTATGGTTCTTTCAGGGTTTTGTTTGAGTACCTGGAGTTTGGCAATGTTAGCAAAATATTCACCACTTGGATCAATTTAATGTACTTGGAATTATTAAAAGACCTTTAAATTTGTCAAATGCCAGAATCCATGGATGAAGGGAAAGCCAAGCAGTTTTCTAATTTTCCAAATGTAAAGATTATCATGATTGATTGTACAGAACTTTTTACAGAGAAACCATCATCCTTGAAAGCATGCAAGGAAATATATTCCAATTATAAAGCACACACAACATTCAAGTTTCTAGTTGGAATTGACATACATGCAGCAATTGTTTATGTTTCTCGAGCTTAGGGTGACCGCACATCGGATAAACATATTACATCAAACTGTAATGACTTACTAGATGCAATGAAGGAGGGAGATGAAATAATGGCTGACAGAGGATTTGACATTGAAGTGTGTTAAGTGTTCCAGGTGTTAAAGTTATCATCCCAGATTTTAAGGGGAAGGACTGCTCACAAATGAGGGCGGTTGAAGATCTACTGAACAAATATTTACGGTTTGTGGTTATTTTGTTAATTTTCAGTCACCAATACTACAATAGGTCAAAAATTCAATATTAAATAAATCAACTGTTGAAACTGTCCAATATCAAATAATTAATAAATTATTAATATTTCCATAATATATTGTATATATGTACAATTCAATTTACAATTTTCAACAATAAATAAAATTATTAATAAATCACATCGATAAATAAGAATACATTTAAATTATTATTAGCAAACAGTGCTATTCATACTTTGAACAACCAAACTTAAATTTTATTGCCTGAATAGTTCTATCAGGTAAAGAACTCACTGTTCATTGGACAAAATTTAATTTGGTTGTTCGAGCAGTACGTGCTATAATTCATCTATTGGGACTTATCTGCCGGATAAGTTATCCCGGCTTTGTACCCCAGATTCATGTAAACTTTTCAATTCCCCCAAACTCTCTAATGTAAACACATGGTACGTACCTCTGACATCACCCCAAATTCTATTTATTACATGACAACCATGCATCAGATGGCTCCCTAGAGTTTTATGACTGCACACGAGCTGGTTACAATTTTGGCAACACAATTACTGATAATCGGGAAAAATATGCCGTCACATCTTGCGTTTCCATTGATAATTTTTTGTTTAATTAGAGCTTGTACTGTACAGATCAGGGCTATACGTTGTACCATTTTAACTCATTAATTAAACACTTAGTTTAATATAGTAATACATTATTGTTTGTAGAAACCCTAGGGAGCCACCTTAATAATTCATCGACATTTGTAATGATCATTCTTCACTTACCACAGTGCAGAAGGATTCATAAGTAATTCCAAGTTTACCAATTCTGCTGAGTCCAAACTTCACCCGAGGATATGCAAGCTACAATAAAATAATGTCATATTGAAGTCTGGGTAGTTGCTGTTCCCAAAATTCCTGATAGTAAACAATGTGCAGAACAAATAAATCCTTTCCATCTGAAGCAACAAAATCAGCCCATAACCTTCCTGAACAAAACAGCTGTTGTTGAATTTGGTAATAGTATAGGGGTGATAATTGTTATTAAACGAGATTCGACCACCTATTTCCTTGATTATATCCTGCGTCTTGAGGGCATCCAATAAGGATTCTCCAGAGTGTGGGAGGATCTTTTTTATTCCAATTGTACCCTCTTCCCTAACTAAGCCATCTGGTGTTGCACCAAGAAATGGATGTGTGGCCGAATAAAAAATCCTCATGGTTTGACATTAACACTGTTCCTTTTTTCATACAGTTGTGTAATTTCTAGCTCCGAATTCTTTCCATCATCCATGTATGATGTTTGGATTGGCTTGTTGTAACCTAGTTGGACTAGTAGTGACTTTTTGAATTGCACGCTTATACTGTGATGCAGTAATCCTTGGCTTGCGGTGTGTAAACTACAGTGGATTTTTGTGCTGGCCTCTGGTTTCATGTTCTATTGATTCGACTGTTTCCTGGCATACATATATTTCACTCTGCTATTTTCGAATTTCTTGAGAACAAATGTTATTGCCAGGATTATGATCCAATCCATCTTCGATGTTAACATCTTCAGTGTTTGCATATGAGCCAGTCTGTACCTCGATATCACAACAAATAGCTAAAATTGCATCATTCTCACAATGACATCTGGTAAACTAAGTTCACATACCGGTTTGTTATGTGTAACTGAGCTGGCAGGGTCATTTCCACCTTGGATAACAGGTACACTATGGGAGGCATAGCTTTACCCATATTAGCTTCTAAAATTGCCTGCCTCAAGTTGCATTTTCGTCTTTCCTTAAACGCAGGATTTTCGTCATCATTCTTGTAAAATTCCTCTGTTATTCCAGGAGATGGTCGGAACTTCTTATCAGGTGGTTGCTGTCCCACTTTGGCTTTGTAAATATCTATATTTTCAACCATTGCTGGCTTTACTTTGGCACTTGGAAAAAGAGCAAAGCCAATTAAATTGGCGAAAGTGCTATAAAATATTTGCTACTCCCATTATGTTTTACTGCAGTTGAGATCAACAATTCTTAAAGATAATTCTTCAAAGAAGAATGTGCAGAAATATTAAATTTATTTTAGTTAAGTGTTGACCAGAATATCTCGCAAGTGAGCAAAGCAAAACATGTTAGATATCCTCTCAATACAAAAAATAAATTTCATATTTTCTAATATCTTTGTATAAACAATCACACAACTTTCACAATTAAAATTATGTGCGGGTTAATAAGGACAAAATGCAATCTTAACCGTGAAGAGTCTATTATTCTGTTTATTGTATATAAATTATAAGCCTTACAAATATCCAGATCACCATAATAAATGTGTATTTATAAGATAAACAGACAATGTAATAAGTATCACAAATGTGTGACTAGCTAGACACGATAATTGGAGGGAGGGGGTGCATATTCATATATTCGTATTCTTCCCGACTGATTTATTTTGAAAGCGATTGTTTTAACAGTATGTGAACATGAATATATGAATATACTCCCCCCCCCCCCAAAAATTATCGCGTCTAGCTACGGCCCTGGCTTATTGAATTAGGTTCGACGAGCAAATCATATCCGAGAAAGATGAAAATCAACGGGAATGCCGATAGCAAAACGGCTTGTGGAACGTAGCAATCACGTAACTACGGAGTGTTTGGACTATCAATTACGTACACTGTATGCACGTCCATCTTGCTTTACGCGCTTAGAGGTCGAGGTTTTGCGGTTTTAAGTTTTGACTTTGAAAGGACAACCTTAATTGAATTACCTGTAAATGACCTGTATACCTTGAGCAAGAACTTCAGTCAATTTCCTCTTCAATTTCCGCCATCTTGGCTTCACTTGTTGGACTCGAGTTCTCGCCCAGATATATATGGAACTCACTGATGCAACTATCTTTTCATTTAAAAATATATATAGTTTCTATATGTTAACTAAATAGGACAAAAACATTAAATTATTATGGTTTGTGGGGTTGGTGGGCCAAATAACGGCCAATGGAAAGGGTACACAGGGCAAATCCCCCACCTCGCTATGGTTTTAAAAATTAGCCTTTGACTGTTATCCATTGAAGAAGCGATACAATCACCCTTTCGATAATTACGTCACACATACTTTTTGGCCCTGGAGCCTCGCTCTCATTAGTAAATTACGCAAGGTGATTGGCTCACGAGTCATGAGAGCGAGACTCCCAGGCCAAATGACGTAATTATCGAAAGCTTGTATTAAAAAAAATCGATATACTAATTTTTTATTTTTTTATTGTGTTTTATTGGTTTTGCCCATATAGATTTGCTAGAGCAGTGATTTACATAAGGGAAAAGTAAGGTCTAGCAGGGCTGCAAATTACTGTCGGGCATCGGACAATATCCGACTAAATTTGGCAAATGTCCGAGCAAAAGCAATTTTGATCGGACATTGGTCCGATCAAAAAAAATATATTGTCACATTATAGCTACATTATTTTGCTGTGACAAAATTCGATTGCAAATTCACTCAATTTGCATTTTGCAATAAAATTTCTAGCATTCTAGCATTTTACTTAACGTTGACTATATATACTCTATACTATATATATATATATATATATATATATATATATATATATATATATATATATATATATATATATATATATATATATATATATGTGCTTGGCGTTATGCTGATGTGTTGTTAATACTTCCGCGCCTTTCAATTTTATCAAGTAACAAAATAATTGCTTTGCGTGCTTTGTAAAAAGGATTAATTTAAAGCTTTCATCCACTTGTACATAAATACTGTAGGTTTTCTGCTGTAGTTGCTGCCGCAGCGAGCGAGCCTGAAGCGAGCGAGCAAGGCAGCAGATCCTAATTTTGTTTTGTGGGTTGATATCAAAATTTTCTATTTGGCGCATTGCATGACGGTACCAGTGAATTTTAACCGTGGTGCAGCGCGGTCAAGAATAAGGCAAACAGGCAATGTGATCATCTTTCATCTTTGGTCTTCTTTTATGGAAAGCCATAGCTGGCTTAAAGTGATCAAACGGCATTTTGTTGAGTGCTTTTAGCATTATACGGCGGTGCTTTCGGCATTATACACGGTGCTTTCGCCATTATACGCGGTGGTTCCCGCATTATAGCCTACGCTGTGGTTCCAGCATTATACGCGGTGCTTTCACCATTTATATACGCGGTGCTTTTGCAATTATACGCAGTGGTTCGAGCACTATATGCGGTGCTTTTAACATTATACGCGATGCTAGCTTTCATTCAACATTATTTTCATATTCTTTCCATGACATGTGTATATGATTTAACGATTGCTTAAATTTGGTATGTGGTTGACGAATGCTTTTTGCCTATGGTCCGCAAAGACAATGACATGCTTTTCTGTGTATATAAATGAATATAACCACAGTGATATAACGCAGCGAATGCGCCAAGCAGTATAAACGCGCGGCTGAAATACGATATTAAAATCTTGAATGTGCCGTATGATTTAATTATGTTTTGGGATTTACAAATGCTTTGTCATTTGGTGTTTATACTTGTACTGCATCACAAGGCAGTACGTAAGTGAAAAAATTTCACATGTGAGATTGTCTTGTATATATTTTTGCTTTCTTTGATAAACATTATTAGTAAACACGCAAATTTTAATTAGTGAGACGCAATGTTAAAAAATGTTGATCATGACGAACCGCACTTTTGTGTTTTAAAAACGAGTTAGGATAAAACGCGGATACGGACGGACGGATGGCGACGGACGGACCGGACGGATAACATATATATGTCATTATATAGTCTGCGCGCAGCTGCGCAGGGTAGTGTTGTAAACACACTTTGTTAATAAACCGCCATCTTACATTCTGCTCCATGAGGCTATATCACGTGACTCCATGATCACCTGATACTACAAGGACACTACATCTCTCCCTGCCTTGGTATTTAAGATAATATAACGTTTGTTGATATTAACCTAGAAACTGTTCGGTTGTTTAACATAACACAACAAATATCAATGTCTATTAAGTCCTTTAAATTAAAGTACATAGTATTATAGTCTTGTACTTATCGTTGTCCATCATGAAGGAATTCTGGTCTTTTCCGTTGTCTTCGTGGATATTGTCGTCTGCCTTCATCTCTGTTTTCAACAACTACATTTCTCTCTCTCTCTCTAGCATTTTCATTTCGTCCCTCAACTTTGTTGTCACTTGTTTCTCCTTGATTTGTAGCACCTCCCGTGAATAACTTGAAATGTGAACTGTTCCGAGTTATGCAATGATCAGCTCTCGTAGCCGTAATCATGGTTCCTTTTACAGCCGTTATGGTATATGGATTTGGGTCAAAATGTGGTGTCAACTTATTCTGTTTCTCTTGCCGCACTAAAACACAATCTCCAACAGCGAGTTGAGGTATTCGAGCATGTCGGCGTTTATCAGCATATTCATTGCGTTTACACTTGGCATTCTGATCAGCGGTATCTATTGTTTCGTTGATATACTTCATGTCTGGGAGTGTTTTAGTAACTGACGGTAACTTATTGCGAATGGAACGTCCAAACAAAGCAGTAGCTGGTGGAACCGTAGTTGTTGAATGTGGAGTGGATCTGTAGTTTAATAAGAATTGATACATTTCTTTGCGCCAGTTTTTATGATCAACATGAGCAGCTTGGATACATTTCTTCAAAGGTTTCATGAAGTTCTCAGCCTCTGCATTGCCTTGAGGCCAGAGTGGTGTTATCTTATGATGATGGATCTTATTATCATTCATAAACTTCTGAATCTCATAGCTTGTAAAAGGTGGGCCGTTGTCGGTGATAACTTTCTTTGGTAAACCATGTGTTGAAAAAATCCGATCAAGTCGAGGGATGGTAGAACTTGCAGATGTACTCTTAACAATTTCTACTTCAGGGAAGCGTGTTCGACCATCAATTACCACAAGAAGTAATTCTCCACTTGGAAATGGGCCGAGAAAATCTACATAAACGGTATCCCATGGATGCTTTGGGATCTGAATCAATTTCAGTGGTGCAGGGGGTTTTGGTCTAGTGACTGATTGGCAAGGTAAGCACTTTTTAATGCACTCTTCAACATATGAATCAATTTGGTAAAACCATACTTTCTCTCGGATTAAGCATTTAGTTTTAACTAGACCTTGGTGGCCTTCGTGTGCCAATTTGACAGCTTGGGCTCTCAGTTTAGTTGGTATGACAACTCGGTTTCCTCGAAGTAGAATATCGGCATCTGATGACACAGTCAATTCATCTCGTAGTTTATACAAGGCATGTAATTCATCAATATTAACTCCTGTAGACATTTTGTCTTGTTTCTCAAGAGCAGTCCAGTTATTTGTTTGAATGAATTCTATGGTTTTACTAAGAGTGGGGTCTTGTCTGGTTGCATCTTTGATACAAGCAATATCCATAGCAACAGGTATGGCATTTTCAGCAATCAGGCAAACATGCTCTTCAGCTATATTCTCAAGGTAATTTCTGGTGTTTGTGGCAGTGCATGGATGACGAGATAGATAGTCTGAAGGATTCTTTGGACCGGGCCGATATTTAACATGGAATGAGTACTCTTGCAGACGTAAACACCATCGCTCGATACGGCTGGATGGGCGAGATTGGAGGTTCTTGTAGATTAATTCAAGAGGTTTGTTGTCAGTTATTAATGTAAAAACGTGCCCGTAAAGATATAAACGAAAATGTTCAATGCCATATATAATAGCTAATGCTTCTTTTTCTATATGCGAGTACCGGCTTTCAACTGGTGTTAGGGAGCGACTGGCGTAAGCCATAACTTTCGTATCATCCTTTCCGGGTGTTGTCTGGGTTAGAATGGCACCGAGGCCAACTGGTGAAGCATCCACATGTAATTCTGTGTTTTTGCTAGGATCGAAATACCCCATGACCGTGTCCGACGTCAGTAGTCGTTTTAAAGTTTCAAATGCCTCTTGATGCATGCTGGTCCAATCCCACTTAACATCTTTCTGTGTGAGCATACGTAGAGGTGCGGAAACAGTGGCAAGGTTTGGGATGAAACGTCCACAGTACTGGATAATTCCAAGAAAAGATCGAACATCTGTAGGGTTGGTGGGAACTGGTGTTTCCTTCACGGCGTCAACCTTACTGGGGCTTGGAGAAATTCCATCTGCAGAAAAGATATACCCGAAAAATTCTAGTTGTTCTTTGTCAAATTGGCATTTTGCCAACCCCAATTTCAGATTGTTCGCTTTGAGGACTTCCAGCACTTTCTGCAAGGACGCATCATGATCTTTCTCTGTCTTTCCAAATATGATGATATCATCACTAATGTTGCGACATCCCTCTATTCCATTTAAAACATTGTCCAAAGCATTCTGGAAAATTTCGCTGGCACTATTAGTACCAAAGTTTAGGCGTTTGTACCGATACAAACCTTTATGGGTTGTGAATGTGGTAATAGAGCGAGAGTCTTCGTCAAGCTCAAGCTGGTGATAGGCCGATGAAAGGTCAAGTTTGCTGAAATATTTTGCTCCATTTAAATCTGTTATAAGATCATCGATAACTGGTTGTGGGTGATGCTCTCTGTGGATTGCTTGATTTGGCATACGCATATCAACACACAAGCGTATTTTATCAGGCTGGTTAGGCTTTGGGAAAACAACAATAGGGCTAACCCATGGTGTAGGCCCTGTAGTAGGCTCGATAATGTCAGAGTCTTCTAAATGTTTCAGTTCGACTTCAACTCTGTTCCGAATGGCAACGGGAATGCGACGAGTGGGCTGCACTACAGGTTTGACACTTGGATCGATGTGTAAATGAACCTTGAAATTCTTAAGCTTGCCAATGCCTGTGAAGACATCACTGTACTCTTGGATCAATGGAGTGAGACGAGTTGGTATTTCTTTGGAGTTGAGTGCTGTAACTGCATTCACTTTAACATGAATGAGGTCTAATTCAATTGCTGTATGTCCACTAAGTAAACATCCAGTGGCATTTTTCACTACCAACACTTTTGCAGTCGTTATTTTATGCGATGACTCAAGAGTACATTGAAATTGTCCTAGGACTTGTAAGGGTGTAGAGCTAGCAAAACCAAAAAGGCGTTTTTTTGACTTGGCAAGGGTTATTGTAGGGTTTCCATCAACAAGATGTTTATAGGATGTTTCATTAATAATGTTGGCAGTTGAACCAGTGTCAATTTGAAAAGTATCTCTGAATTTCCAACTCTTAATGTCTTCTGAAAGTTCTCTTTGTCAGCTGGTGTCTCGAGTGTGTACACATATTCATCGCTGTCATCACTTTCTACTTGTTGTTGAGCCTGTTCAATCTTACGGACTTCGTTGCTGGGTTGTTTTCGTCGAGTCGACCTGCAAACACGTGCAAAGTGATTGTACTTTTTGCAATTGTTGCATTGCTGTCCTTCAGCAGGGCATGGTTGATCTTTGTGGGGCCAGGCAAGTCCACATCTGAAACATTTTCTAGTAGGTACCTGTTCTGATGTTCTAGGCAGCTCTTTCTGTTTTGGTTCAGGCTTCTGTGAACGTTGATCATTTGGTGAAGAATTATCTTTGTTGACAGCGTTTATCTCTGCTGACGAGGGCATGTTGAATGAACTATTCGCGATGCCAGATGCTTGTTTTTCAGTCTCCGCAAGAGTCCTAGCATAACTGATCAAATCTGTTAAAGTGAGGCTTGGGTTGCGAAACGAATGTTGCCGAAGCTTCTTACTTGAAGTCCCAAGTTTTATCTGTAATTTAATTTCCGTGTCATGGTCGTGAAACTCGCAGTATTTTGCCGCAATTTGTAAGCGTGTGTGATATTAATCGATGCTTTCGCCTGGGACTTGTTGTAATTTACGAAATTTAAATATTTCAAAGGATACATTTTTCTTCGGAGTAAAATATGCCGTCAATGCATCACAAGCAGCGTTAAAGTTGTTGTTTTCTCCTCGGTCAGGTAGTGTGTCAAAAATATCATTAACACGTTCACCAACATAGTGAAGTAGCAAGGCTCTTTTGCGACCTGCATCACGAAGGTTCATCGCTGTAACTAGATTGTTGAATCGCTTTAAATACTTCTCCCATCGTACTGCTAAATTTGATGGGTCTTCTACATCAAATTCCGGAAATGATGGAATTGCAGCCATCGTAAATCGTACTGTAATTTGCTAATAAAATCTCATCCTTGTCGCCATTGTTGTAAACACACTTTGTTAATAAACCGCCATCTTACATTCTCCTCCATGAGGCTATATCACGTGACTACATGATCACCTGATACTACAAGGACACTACACTAGGAAAGTACGAATGATAGAAGAAATTAGTCTTATATTTAAATTCAATAAAATTATTTGGATCATATGATCTACAGTTGAATATTTAGGTTTGGGTCGTTTATGAACAAAAATTTCTAAATTGAGATTACATTTTAGTGTTTTAATGGAAGAGGGGCTTACTGGAGAAAAAGGGGAGGGCATCCTAATAGAGAAAGGGGGCATAATAGTGAGTAGGGGATGGAGACATAAACAAGATCAGGGTGTGGGGCCATACAGAGAAGAGGGGCTTTTAATAGAGGATACAGTTTTACATATAGAGGAGCAGGGGTTAGGAATGGGGTTAGAGGTCGAAAGGGAAAGGGATGGGGTCTTAATAAGTAAGAAGAGCCTCTAAATAGAGAGGAGGGATCTTCATAGGAAGGGCAAGGTGTTTTAGTAGAAAGGAGGGGTTAATAAAAAGCGGGGAATTCAGAGGAGGGGGAAGATTTTTTAATGTGGAGTAAAGTTATAATGGTACAAAATAACATTAATAATACAGTACCTCTACTGGTAAAAGAACAATGATTGTCCTTCACATAATCTGGCCATGGTAGTACGTGATCTAAAGTCACATAGCGATTGCCACATTTGTAGTACGAGCGTTTTTCCTCCAAAGGCATGTTGCTGTAATCCATTTCCTTGGCTTCTTATTTTGTTTTCCAGCTTGAATCGACATTTTTGCGGGAATCGAAAAAAACTAGAAAAAATGTGACCAAATTGAGAGCTATTTACCAGAAAATATCCATTGATCAGTCATCCTAATTTAGTGACTTTTGCCTCGGCAGAAATTCATTCAGTCATTCCAGAAAACATCCATACCTCCCCCACAGAAGAAATTGGAAGTTAACCCCCCTTCGGATGTCCTAATACACTTGGCAGAAATTTCCTCTGTGGGGGAAGTGTGGATCTTTTCTGGAATGACGCAATCTTACATCTTTCGGAAATTTGCCATTTTGCCTCAGCAAATGTTTCTTCTGGGGAATGTAATGAAATCACTGTAAATTACTTTGGCAAACTCTGGTGAGCAATTTCATCAATGCTGAAAGCCCTAATGAACTGACCATGCCTTTGAACAAATTATATTCATTTGCCATATTATAAAATTGTGCTCAATGTGTAAAGAGTCAATCAACACACAGCTGAAAGTCATGGGTTTTCTTTGGGTGCTCTGACCATTATGACAATTGCATTTTCCAGTACTCATCAATACCTGGGCGTGGGGGATATTTCTAGATGCAACAGGATCAGATGGGGGGTACATTTGTACGTTCTAAAGGATCTGCTGGGTGATTGTTTGTAGTTACTACAGTTATTTTTATTTTCAAATTCTTTAAAATTCGCAGAATATAAAATATACTTAATTTGTCCATACAAGTTGTCTGTTCTCATGTAATCACTTGGATGCATATTGTTTTTGATACTTGCTGGCCTGAAAAATGTATATAAGCCTCCAAATTTTCAAGCCAGTGCTGTTACCATTCATGCTCCTGTCAAAGCATCTACAGTACCTGTAGCTTGTTCAAAATGTTGGAATTTTTTGTTATTTACTCACTGTTAATGCTGAATTATCAAAAGGGGACTACAGTATAGGTGGCTTTCACTATTAAACAGAGCCTGTTGGGATGGGCATGCATGCCTGTCACTCATGCACGCCTGTCATGCAATTTGAAGATTGTTAGTTAGCAAGTGGATGCAGGGTGTTAGCCAGGATTTCAAAAGTGGCCGTCCAAAATAATTTTGTGGGCGTGGCCGCAATTAGTTGTTGTGGAATTGTGGTGTTCTATTCGTTGAACGTTTTTACTTTTCGATCCACACGCGTCTGCCGATACTTCAATTCAGCCATATTCAACGTGTTTTCGACGGGAAAAATATGAAAACATATACCATAAGTAAAGTAAACAGCAGATGACAACAATTCGAAGTATTCAAGAAATATTAC